CATGGCTGGAAGATTGCTTGCTCTTGACGATCATGTCGTCGACATAGGCCTCCATGGTGCGCCCTAGGACGGCTTGAATGACCCGGGCCACCATCCGGGTGTAAGTGGCCCCCGAGTTCTTTAGGCCGAAGGCCATCACTAGGTAGCAGAAGATGCCCTCGGGAGTCATGAAGGCAGTTTTTTCGGCGTCCTCCTCGTGCATGAAAATTTGATGGTACCCTCGGAAGGCATCGAGGAAGGACATGATCTCACACCCTGCGGTCTCGTCCACCAATTGATCAATGTTTGGTAGAGGGAATGGATCCATAGGGCATGCTTTGTTGAGATCGGTGTAGTCCACGCACATGCGGAAGGTAGGGGGCTTCTGTGCGAGGACTACATTCGCCAGCCATGAGGGATATTTCACCTCCTTAATGTGCTTAATGGAGAGGAGCATGGCGACCTCCTTCTTCACAAACTCCCTCCTCTCGGCGGAGAGGGGTCTTCTTCGTTGTTGTACTGCTTTTGCCGAGGGGTCCACCGAGAGGCGGTGGGTGATGACCCTTCGGCTGATTCCCGGCATGTCCTCCGGCCCCCATGCAAAGACATTGGAGTAGGCGCGGAGGGCGTCGGTGATACCGGTCTTCAAATCTTCAGGGAGCTGGGCTCCAACCTTCACGACTCTCTCCGGCTGGGCCGGATCGAGCGCAAAGTCTTCTACGTCCTCGGCCGGTTCAGCCCTCGGCCTTCTTTCCTCTTGGTCGACGGCTCCGGTGATGGTGTCAACACGGAATTCCGTCTTGCTTACCTTCTTAGTGACCTGAAGATAGCAGGCGCGGGCAATTTTTTGGTTCCCCCGGGAGTAGCCAATGCCCCCCTCGGCGGGAAACTTGAGGCAGAGATGCCTCATGGAGATGATGGCTTCGAGGTCCTCGAGGGCTGGCCGGCCGAGGATGATGTTGTGGGCGCAGTCAATGTTGACGACGACGAACTCCACCTCGAGCTGGGCTCTATGGAGCCCGTCGCCGAAGATCACCGGGAGGGTTATTACCCCCTCGGAATCAATAGTGTCGCAGGTGAAGCCGGCAAGAGGGGTCTTAATGGGCCGAAGGGACCCCCTCTCCAGATGCAGCTCTCTGAAGGTGCTGAGGTACATTACATTGACGGAGCTGCCCGTGTCAACGTAAGTTCGGTGAATGATGGTGTCGTTGATCTCCGTTCGAATCACCAAGGCATCCCTGTGAGGAGAAGAAGTAGGAGGGAGATCTGCGTTGGTGAAGGTGATGGGTTCCTCCCTCAATCGCTTTACCGGGGGCATATGAGTGACTTCCCCTACGTAAAGCGATTGAGCCCACTTCTTTCGCTGGCTGGTGGAATCGCCCCCTGTGTTGCCACCGGTGATCATGAGGATGTGGCGTTTTTTCTCCTGGTAGTGGGGGTATTCCTCCTCCTCTTCTTCCAAGTTTCTAATCTCCCTTTTCTTGCCGAGGGGGATGGTATTCGGGTTTACCCAAGCGTTCACCTTTGTATGGTGCCCTCGGGGAGGTCCCTGATGAGAAGGTCCCTCCTGCCGAGGGCTCTGGACAAACTGGGACAGGTGCCCCGCCTGTATTAATCTCTCGATGGCCGTCTTCAGTTGATGGCAGTCATCGGTCCTGTGCCCCTGGTGCCGATGGAAGCGACAGTAGGGGAACTGAGGGTTGATAGCGTGTACCTCCGGGGGTGCGCGAGAGTCGCGCTCCACGAGGCCCCTCTCCTCGGCAAAATCGAGGATGATGCTGACGGGGTGCGTCAATGGTGTCCGAGGGCGGTCCAGGAGAATGGGCTGGGCCCAAATCTTAGGGTTGCTCTTATAACCTCCCCCGGGCTTGGCTTGACCTTGCCGAGGGCGGTCATCGGAGGGTCCCGAAGTCTTGGGGCGATTTGGAGGAGCCCCCGGCCCTCGGTTATGCTTGTTGTCAGCCCTCGGGGGCTGCTGGTCCGGGTGTTGGTGATACTTCTCCACCTCCTCGGCCTCAGCATACCGGTCCCCCCGCTGCAAGGCCCTTATGTAGTCGCGGGGGGGTTCAATGATGAGGCTCCTGGAAAAGTTGCCGGTGCGGAGGACGGTTTGTAGGAGGGCCAGGAGGGTCCCGTCATCAGCACCGTCGACCTTGTCGGCCTCCGTCCTCCAGCGCTCTAGCAAATCCCGAAGGGTCTCATCCTTCTTTTGGCGTATTGTTAGGAGGTGGGAGAAGTGCTTCCTTGTGCGACGTCTCCCGGCAAATTGTGTCAAGAATCGCTGGGCGAGTTCTTGCCACGAATCAATGCAGCCCTCGGGCAGCCTGTTGAACCATTCGTATGCTGGTCCCTCTAAGGTGGAGAGGAACCAACGACACAAATATTCGTCTGACGCCCCCACCATCATCATGCTGTTCTGGTACTTGCTGTAGTGTTCCTGTGGGTCCGTTTTCCCGTTGTAGGGCTGTATGTGTTGCCCTCGGTATTTCTCCGGGATCCGGGCCGCCAATACCCTTGGGGTAAATGGCGTCCGAGTCCGGAGCTGGATGACAGGTTCCCCGGAGCCCTCGACCACCTTCTTCTGTAATTCCTCCATTTTGGCCATCATGGCCTCGTATTTGAGGTCTGAGTGAGGGGTGGAGGTGGTGGCGTGAGCTTTGTTGGACTCCATCTCGTCAAGCCGGCGTTGGAGGGCCGCAATAATCTCGTCCCGGGGGTCCCTCGGGAGGGTCTCCGCCCCCTGCGAACGAACCCGGGCCGAGTGGGCCTGGTTGATTTGGTGCCGAGCATCATCGGCATGAAGGGGTGCCTTGCCTTTGTCCCGAGGGGGACGCTCCTCGTCTGCCCTCGAAACAGATCCCCCGCTTTCCTGGGGCCTTTGGAGTGCTTTCCCCCCGAGGTGGTCTTGGACCCCTCGGCGGTCTGGCCCTCCTCCGAGCCGGTTGAGGGCAGAAGTACGGGGCCTTTCCCTGTTGTCATTATGGCGGTCCCGGGACTGAACTTCCTGGGAGGACGTATCTTGGGCCACCACCCCTTCGTCGTTTCTCACCCGAGGGGTGGGATTTCCGAAGGGGTGTGGCAGAGGGGGGAGTATGATATTTTCCCCGATCTGAGGGTGAGATGGAGCCAGGGTGAGCGTCTGGATGAAGGCGGAGAGCGCCGATTGTACGTCGATGGTGAGAACCGGGGGGGCTGACTTGGTCATCGCTCCGGTTTTTCTTCTTGGCCTCGATGCCGAGGCGGGCATCGGGGGCATTTTGTTGGATCTGAAGGCGTAGGTCGACAGCCGCCTGTTCCAGCCCAGCGATGACACCGCCCTCGGGAGCCCTGTGAGAGGCTTCGGGGGCGTTGACGTCGCCGAGGGCCAGGTTCTTGTCTTCTACGTTCTTTGAGTTGACACGTGTTGTCCTCACCATTTTGATAGAGGGCTAGTGTTTTGTGTTTGGTCGAGGGGGAGGGTTTCTTACTTGATTGTTCAACCTCTCAACGAGAGCACCAAATGATGGATAGTCTACCCGGGGGTATATATCCGAGGGGTTATTACGGGGAGTAATTTAGAGAGAAGTCAGAGCAAGTAAATAAAAGTAGAGAGAGAGTGTATTCAGTGTGTTATCACTTGGTTACAAATGGGGAAAAGGGGTGCTATTTATAGTAGCAATAAATGCCGGGCAGGGACACGTGTCAAGCGCTCATTGGCCGAGGGGTCACCTCAACTGCTTGGCGCTGGCAGCCGCATGTGGCCGCATTTAATGCGGCTGTTGGATGGGACGTCTGTGCGGGGTACGTTGATCTGTACGCATGTGAGGCGGATATCTTGTCGAGTGAGATGCCTTCGGCTATAGAGCAGTAGCCGAGGGCTCTTCCACCCGATGGCACCCTGGTGCCGAGGGCTCACAGTGCCGAGGGCTACTGTTTTCGCCGTTTTCTCCCAGTTTCTTAGTTTGCTTGAGAAACCCGCTCTGTGAGAATTTGGAGCCTTCGGCCAGGGGGCCGAAGGCATCCCTGTGCGTTGTGCGGACTGCTTGGTACTCTGGGCGCTGTGATTTGGGCCTGTTGGGCCTTTTGGGCCTGTTGGGCCTTTGCTGGAGTAGTAGGAGTTTGTGGGCCGGGGGTTCCCGGGCCATATACTCCATGAGACATCCTCGAAACTTTTCACCTGCTGCTACGGAAACACACCCTTTGATCGTCATATAGGCGTTGCGGTTTGCCGAAGAAGAGAGTCTCATGAAATGCAGACGAAAGCCACACAAAAAAGTCGCTCTTCGTTGAAGACGAAAACGGATATAAACAATCCATAAACCTATGGGAGATGGTCACCTAAAAAATTACGGAGCCTAACAATTAGTACAATGCTACATTAGTACAATAAATAAATAAATACTCACTGCGTCCCATAAAATTTTTCCCACTTTCCTTTTTGTACCGTCCCAAAAAATTCTTCCCATTTACTTCCTCCGTCCCAATTTGATTTGCAAAATTTCCATTTTTGGTTGTCCCAAAATGATTTTCCACTTTCTATTTTACGTATTTAAATAAGAATAAAGTAACAAATTTACTCATACTTTTTTTTTTCCATTAACATAAAGACATCTACTTTTAGAATGATGGACAAAAATGTAAAAAACAAACATCATTTATTGTCATTTCTTAATCCTCGTGCCGGTCTAAGTTTGCAATTCAATTCGGGACGGAGGGAGTACCATTTTTGAACAATTTATGTGGTTCACATTCATTTCACCTTTTTCTTACACAACCACAATCATACATTTCTACTTTATTCCACTTTCTTAATCTTCGTGACAAGTCAAAGTGGGAAGAATTTTATGAGACGGAGGTAGTACCGGTGAGAGGCGTGAGAATCACGTGACCATATACATTTCCTAAGAGGCGACTTTTACTACGTATCAGTTGGAACTTGGGAGGGAAGTCCATCCAGCCGTCCCCTCTCCATCCACGGCCAAGATTTATCTCAGTTGTTAAATCTACTCTTTACCAAGAAGGAAGAAGGGGAAAACCCACTTGTGAAGGGAGGAGCCGCTAGAAGAGGGGAAACAAATCCCACCAACATATATTTATATACACCCCGCCGTATATCTCCATCTCTAACTCTCTCAACAGAAAACATCAACCAAATGCTGCTTCTTCTTATTGTATAGAGAAGATCTTGCAGCAGAAGGAAGTTGTATTGCGTTTCTCTCAATTTTCCTGAAAAAGAAAACTGTTTTCTTCGTAAAGCTCAATCTTTCCCATCTAATTCTTGGTATTTTCTGCTTCAGAAGATTACCCCTCTCCTGTAATCACATCTCCACCTTTCTCCTTGATTACTGAGTGTTTTTTTGCATTCCATTGAAATAACGCCTGATCTTACTTTGTATCCTCAACCGCAGTTTTCTTTAGAGTCTTCGAAGTTATTTCCGTAGATCTATATATTGGAAAGGGTAAGTGTCACTCCACTTTGTTTCTTTCTTCGAAATAATTTTCTTTTTGTGTTCTACTATTGGAAAACTCATATAGGCATATAAACTAATTGGTGTGTTTTCTTGATTGAAGGGTACTTAATTATCTATGGATAAGTTACAGTGGGGCAATCGGAAAAGATTGAGATGCATGAAGGTGAAAGAATCGGCTTCAAACGGAAAATCAGATGGCGGTGGGAGTGCGGTGAAGAGGAAAATCACATCTAGAGTTATAGAAGCTAATGCTGTTTCTTCTCCCTCTCGTGTTAACAGGTAAAAGAAATCAAATAGGCTGCAATATGATTTTTGAATTTGATGCCTTATTTCAGTGGAAAATTTGTCTTTGTATTAGTCTTTTCATTGAAAAGCTTTATAAAACCAGTGATTGAAAACTCAAATCTGTACATAGAATACTGTTAGTATTGTGTTTGGATGATAAAGCTGAGATCTTGATCTGTTTTTTCAGTACAAGATCTGGTCTTTTCTACAGAAATTAAATTGCATATTCTCAAGTCTTACATCAACTTCAATACCTCTCCCTCTGTTTTTTTTAAACATGGGTCAGGCTAAATGATGATACTGTTTTTTATTTTTAAATGTTTTTTAACAGTAAGATGAGAATTGGAATTTTGATAATTACCAAAAGGTACTCAGTATATAATAAGCTATTAAAAGTGTCTTCATAAATCGAATTGGTTTTAAACCTAATTAGGTCTAAAACGTTTTTCTTTCTTCTCTTTTTCAAATTTTATTGCAATCCAAATATACTTTCTTGATGGGAGAGGGTAAGGGTTGTTGGCCTAACCAAAAGGTCTAATACTGTATAGTCTATATGATCAAGATCAAGCGGTGCAATGAAAGATGACACTTGAATGCTAATCTTTTTGGGCAAATGTATTTACAGGGAGGTGGGGATGAACAAATCTAGTGGAAATGAGAATAAGAAGGCAACAACGTCATCGCCTGAGAAAGAAGACAGGTATTACACAACAAGAGGATCAGTGGGGTTGGATGAGCACAACAAGTTGTTTTTGGACTCAAGGGAAGAGAAGAAGAAGGTTGTTTGGCCAAGACTGTTAGTGACCTTATCTAGTAAAGAAAAGGAAGAAGATTTTATGGCCATGAAAGGATGTAAACTTCCGCAGAGGCCTAAGAAGAGGGCCAAGCTGATTCAAAGAACCATTCTTGTAAGTTCTTGAAGTGATCTAAAAGTAACTTACTTCCAAAGTTTTTGGGGCATTTTTATTTCTGCATTATGTATGATTTTGTTCTAAGCCTATCTTTCCTGTAGTTGGTGACTCCAGGTACATGGTTGTCAGATTTGTGCCAGGAGAGGTATGAAGTGAGGGAGAAGAAGACTTCTAAGAAGGTATGTATTTAACCAGATCCAAGTCTTGTTTTTTAAAAAGACTTTCTTTTCTTCTTCTTTTTGTTTGAATATTGAGCATTTTTGCTACTTCTGGTAACAAGGAATGATTTTTATGCAGAAGCCAAGAGGGTTAAAGGCAATGGGAAGCATGGAAAGTGACTCAGACTGAAATCTGTGAAAAGAAACGATAAGTTGCAGAGATGGGCAGAGAGGGATATATATGGATCTGAGATCCTCTTTTTGGGCAAATCTAGAGGGTTGAAGGAGCAGAAATAGTTAGTATTTCCTAAGCTCTTCATTCTCCTTTGGGAGTTTTCTACTTCTATTCACGCTAATGTTAATATTGGTTTGAAGATTCTCTCATTTCTAGTGCCTTCGTTTTAATTTTCTTTATTTAATATTGACTCGATGTTATGTCATGTTTAAAATTCGCAGCATTATGGCTCTACATAGAATTACACTTGACATTTTTTACCCCAAATTTTAGGTTAAAGTCTAAAAAGTTTTCTAAACAAATAGAAAAAATGAAAGGGTGGAAATCTTCTTTTGTTCAGTACTTTTTTGGATGAATTAAGTTATTGGATGAATTTCACACATATTAAGAAAATAAATTTATTGGGGGTAAATTTTGCTGTTTGAACATTGTATAGACACTGTTTGACACTGTTTTGATGTAGATAATTTGTCAAATAAAGAAAGTAGAGAAGTGTGAATTTAATTATTGGACTGCCCAAAAAGGAAAATAAGAATTGGGGGAGGGCAGTGAGGCTGCTTGCAAGTTGCAACCCAGGAAGTGAATAGCCAAATCTGATTTCTTCAACCCCAGTTTGCTGCAATCCATGTATAAGAAGATGCTATAGTAGGTACATGCACCCACTACCGGGGAATTAGCAGCCTTATTCACGATGACAAGTCTTACGGCACCTAGCTGCGCAAGCAGCGTACATGTACCAGAGACATGGGCCCAACAAATTAAAATCCCTAATTTTTTTATTGTGTTATACATTTTTTATTTGTACTTCATTTTTTAAAAAAAATATATCAAAATTCATTATTTTTTATAATCTTTCATATGACACCAATATATTTATTTTTAAGTTTCACCCGTAGGAGAAATTTTAGATTTTTTTTTGATAACTTGATCTAAATGCTAAAATTAAGATCTCGCGATTGAAATAATATTTTACATCTTTCAGTTATGTCTTTTTCAAAACTAGGTCTAAATTAGCCACAAATAAATTAACTCCAAATTTATTTATTTCGACATCGGAATGTGTGATTTTTAAAATCATAATTATTTACAAAAAGATTTAACAAAAAAGTATTGTGTAATAGTAAAAGGAATGCTTTAAATAAGAAAAAGCTTTGCTGGGTGTATATATTGACGGTGTTGTATTGCGGAGAAATATTGAATTGACTAAGTGAATACGTATAAACTGATGGAAATTAGATTTATTGACGGAACAGGTTGCGGTTAGCCTGATAATGGTCAATAAGCTCTACAGTTATATGTGAATCACTAATTGGGCCACGTAGGTGCCGTTTTAGGCCACGTGTATTATAACACAATGTGAGACTACAGGAACTTAATTGATTTGACACTTTTCTTTATAATACTCCCTCCGTTCGTATTATAACTTTCCGTTCGTATTATAACTTTCAATTTTCCTTTTTCGTCCGTTCGAATTAAAACTTCCACTTTCCCTTTTTGGTAAAGAATTTGTGGTTCACGACATTTCTTACACATTTCTCTCTCCTCTGCACAATTTTCCACCACACAATACCCACTATCTTAAATTGTGCGTCAAATCTATTTGGAAGTTATAATAGGAACGAAGGTAGTATGCTTCGTATAAACTGGTTTTGAAACCGGATTGGATGTGTGGAACAACTATAACAGAAGTGGATTAGAATGATCATATTGGAGCTTGGAACAAGCCCAATCTAGGTGGGTTTCGGTTCCTCCAAGATGGGAGTGGACTGGTTCAGATCAAGTTCTAGTTTTTCCCTGGATGATGATGCTTATTTGCAACATTATTGCATTAGGGGGTCCAATTACCAAATTATGATTAGTTGGAGGTCTTATTTGATATTTTCCTTTTATATCCATTGCTAGTAAGGGTATGTTTGGCACGACTAGCTGAAAAGATACTTTTGTGACTTTTTTAGTAACGAAAAGGTGATGGCTGTTTGGTAAAAAGTCGACTGTTTGATATATGCTATGTTTGGCAAGCATAAGTCTCTACCTTCTAGCTTTTGTACTGTTCAAAAAGTCTCTAAAACTTCTAGGTATATGTTTGGCATGACAATTTTTAAGATCTTTTCAAAAATTAAAAGATCTTTTTTGAGATGCTACAGGGAGTAGTATCTGAAAAAAGCCCGGGACTTCTAGTATAATTAGTCCTAAAAGCTTGTATACCAAACTGAACTCAATCAAACAACCAGCTTTTTTTCAAACAGCTACAACCTTTTTCTTTTAAGATCTTTTCAGTCACTAAAAGCTAACAGTTATTAAAAAGCTCACAAAAATATCTTTTCAGCTAGTTGTGCCAAACATACCCATAGTTCTGTTTGGTATACAAGCTGTTAGGACAAATTAATACTAAAAGTCACGGTCTTTTCACAGATGCTACTCCCCGTAACATCTCAAAAAAGATTTTTATTTTTTGAAAAGCTCTTAGAGTTTTTCATGTCACGCATGCAACTAAAAGCTTTTAGAGATTTTTTAAAAAGTACAAAATTTTAGAGACTGAGAGTTATGTCTGGACAACATGCATTAGGTCTTTCGATGCCCTACAAAGAATAGGTTGGCTGAAAACTGAAAAGTATGGGGTGCCGTCTTCCGCTTTTACTAAGGAGATGTTTACTTTGGTGTTTAATAAATGTAGATATTTGGTTACATGATGGTTATTAAGAAATATTTTATGGTTTCAAATTGGATAACCAAATACTAGAAACTAATTACGAATCTAATTTATGAAAATAGAAACTAATTACGAAAATAGATTTTTCCAAAAAAATCCGAAGCTAATTACGGAAATAGATTTTTCGAAAATAGAAACTAATTACGAAAAAAGATTTGTGACACCGTTACACAGTAGTACCGAAGTTAAAGTTTAAAAAGAGATGATGACTATTAGGTCATATGCCATCTTTCACTTGGTCTAAAATGGCACGTCATTAATTGCTGCAAATGCAATCACCACTTTTTAGGAAAGAAGGAAGAAAATACTCCCTCCATTCCAGAAAGAAGGAAGAAAATGCAATCACCACTTTTTGGATGTTCCAAAAAGTTTTGTTATTTCCATTTAAAGTAAGGAATATGTGGTTAAAATTATATCTATTCTTTCTGCACAAATTTCAATCACACAGTTTTTACTTTACTAATCAACGTGAAAGTCAACTTTGACCAACCTTTTCGGGACGGATGGAGTAGTTAAGAACCAATTAAAACATTACATTTGAACTATTCAAACATAGATAACTAGTGAAATCATAGGTGAGGTATCTAGTGATGGGCCAGTTATATTTTGTAAGTGGTCTATGGTGAACATGATAGTCTCATAGCTAGAACATGTTTGAACAATGAAGAAGTTGTTATACTTTGAGGGAAAAATTCACACTAATAATCCCAGCTATTACCGGTCTTCCATTATTAATCCCTCCCATGCATAATTCTAAATTAATACGTATTAAAGGGGTAACCATCCACAAACACTTTATTAACCTGAAGAACCCATCTTAACCGGTAATTAAAGAATCACGTGACCCACACGTGATTATCCTCTCCCTCTTATCCCAAAATCAGAGGCCAAGCCCAATTGACATCCCTGCGCGATTCTTGCATCCCTGCGCGAGAGACGAGTGAAGAGAACGAATGGGAAGGGAAGATCTTCAATTTGTTGAGTACTGAACAATCATGAATTCAGTGAATGGTTTATCTTCTTGGACCTGCAACTCGAATAGAGAGGTTGTGTGTACTTGCCATCACAAGATAGAGCCGAAATTGTGAACGGTAAAGAGCGGTCCAAACATTGGAAGAAAATTTTATGGCTGCTCGCTATGGCCTGTAAGTATCTCTGCTTTATAAACTTTTCATTAGTTTTCATTGGATGAAAATATTAGTTTTAAATAAAAACATTAGGGTTTATAATTTTGAATGCTCTGAATTATATCAAAACTATATGCTCGCTAATATTTCTTTAAACATTAGGGTTTATGCAAAACATTGAATTGTTTAGTTTTAATGATGACTCTTTCTGTCATAAGTCATTTTCAATTGAAGTAGTGCTAAACATTTTGAGTAGAATACAGATTGTAATGACAATGATGACAATGATGTGCAATATCTCGTTTTGATTGTAGAATGCAGATTGTCGTTTCTTTGAATGGTGTGAGGACACTGATGTGCAATATGATGTCCAAATAGTGAAAGATAAAGATCTACTAATTGAGCAGTTGTTGGCAGAGAAGAAGTTATTGGAAGAAAGAGTACACAAGTTGAAGATGAAGAACAAGAGGTTGGTTGTAGAAGTTGCTGATTCTCGAATGGTGGCTTCCAAAACAGCTAGAGGAGAAGCATATGCTGTTATGGTTATAATAGCATCTTGGATAGTTTTTGGGATTCTTTCTTATTTGAAGTAATGTACCATGTAATGTTAAAGTGATGTAATATTAGCAGATCTTGTGATGTAATCACTTCTTATTTGAAGAAATGTACCTTCTATGAAACTGATGTAATATTGGATCTTGTTTTGTAATGTGTATGATGAACTTCTCTTAAAGTTTTGTTATTCTGTTAAGATCATTTGAACATGGTTTAAAGTACACTCCAAAGTATTCTGAAAATTGAAAAGAACCATTCCAGTAACTTGAAAAGAACCATTCCACTTAACTTAATCATCATCACAAGTCAATTGAAAAGTTTAACAACACCAGAATTCTGAAATACAAGCACAACATCAACCACTACATCAAAGGCAGATTAACAACATCCAAAATACATCCAAACATAGAAATCCATTTAAAGCAGTCTGGGACACTTAAGTCATTACACATCATTAGGGTTTATGCAAAAAGTCATTACACATCATTCATGACACGTCATTCTTTCACACTGGTGCACTGCCATTGTTTGATGGAGCATATCCATCCCCTGAAAGCAGTCTGGGACCTCCTACTTGACCAGGTGACTACAAAAAAAAGGCCAATGATTTTCATTTAGGAGCACACCAATATAACAATTGAAAAGGGATAAGGACATTAAGTCTCACATTAAGAATGTTGTTTCCCTGACCATCAACGAACACACCAAATCCCTGAGGAACCTGCATCCAATTCATAAACACAATAAATATAACATTACTAAACAAATATACACTAAAATGCATTATGCATACCTCATTGGCTCTCCCTTTGGACCTCCCTCTGCCCCTACCTCTCATTATAAGCCTCCCACCTCTCCCAATTTGTGAATGTTGGGCAGTGGCATTTGTATACTCAGTTTCACTGGCATCCTCTGTAGAAGGTTGTGCATTCTTCCTAGGTCTCCCCCTTGGTCTTTTAGGTTCATTTGAAACACTTGAGGTTGTACTTTTGTGTTTGTCCGGGCATTTTCTTTTGTTGTGTTGAGTGGACTTACATATGCTGCAAGACATTTGTAATCCATGCTTTGTTAGCTTACCAGGTTTCTTTGGATCTTCATGAGGGTCCTTTCTCCTATTTTTCCTTGGTCTTCCAGACCCAATTTTGATAGGTGGAGGATCCAATTCAGCCTCTTTTCTTGGCCAGTGCCTTTCACCAGGGCACAGAGGGATACATCCACTATATATCTTCATGTAGGTCTCCTTCTTGTAATACTTATCCACATAGTCTTCAGGGGCATGGTGAAGAAAGAACATGCAAGCTACAGAATGACAACAAGGGACTCCTGTCAATTCCCACTTCCTACATGTGCACGTCTTTGAGATAAGATCAACGGTCATACTATCCATTCTATGGTTGACTTGGAAGACCATGATAGATGAAGGCATTGCTGCATAATTGGCTGCTTCTTCCTTTTCTTTTTCTAGCTTTGCTTGAATCCTAGGACATATAATGTGATGACTGACTTCCGTTTGTTGCCTTTTCTGAACAATCCTTTGCATTAAAGCCGTCCTAATATCTTCCATCATGAATATTAAATGCTTTGTTCTAGCATTGAGAATGTAACCATTGAATGTCTCAGTCATATTGTTGACAATTACCTCACATTTGGTATTTGTTTTAATAAAGGCCCTGCAGAATTTGGTTGGGTCATATGCTTTGATAGATTGGGTGGCTAATGGGCTCAGATTCTCCATTTCCCTTAAAGCATCATCATAATCAGCTTGATTATAAGCCTTAACCACTTTCCAGAAAGCCATCTTAAGCTCATCCCCTTTATGGTTTTTATGCCAGTTGGCATAGATGTGCCTTGCACAATGTTTGTGTTCTGCTCGAGGAAGCACTTTCTGAACTCCATTCAAAATAGCCTATCAACCAATGAACAATGTAACCTCAGATCAATCTTATAAATAACATAGTCACTAAACTATACAAAATTACAATAAGTGAAATGGAAAGAAAAATTACCCGGTGTTCATCAGAGATTATAGTAAGCTCAGAACCATCTGTTTCACCTATTGCTCTATTTAAGTGAATGAAGAACCATTCCCAGCTATCATTATTTTCCCCTTCAACCACAGCCCAGGCAAGGGGATACATCTGCTCATTTGCATCTCTTCCAACTGCGGAAAGTAAGACTCCACCCAAAAATGTTTTCAAGAAACACCCATCCACACACAACACCTTTCTACACCCTTCTAGCCAGCCTTGCTTAACACCATCAAAACACACAAAAAGTCTCTGAAAAACTTGTGGAAACACTCTTAATTCAGGATTGACTTCAAGCTGGAAATGGCTGGTAGGACTAGCAACTGATAAGGCCTCAAGATACCTCCCAAGTTTGTTGTAGTGGTCCTTCATACTACCATGAAGTTTCCTCTTAACAACCACTCTATATGCTTTGCGTATGGTTTCAATAATTTCCTTAGCTGGCCAATGGGGTCTTGATTTAAAAACTTCCAGAAATTGCTTAGCAACCCATGAAGATTTCAGTTGTTTGTTTGATTCCATGTTTCTTAGACACCTGTGCTCCCCTACAACTGATTTCACCACAAAACACCCTCTGCTACTGTCCCAGTTAGCATATATCCTGAAGGGACACCCGGGTACACATATTGCACCTATCCTTTCTTGCCTTTTCTTATCACTAACACTGAACATTAGATTTCTGCCTTGGGCTACTGCAAATCTAACCACATCATCTCTAAATTTTTCTCTACTCTCAAATTTGGTTCCTACTTTCCACTCAAGTATTTTGTAGTCAGTATGTTCATTAACAATTGGAATCCTTTCCCTCCTTCTTTTTTTAGTTCATATTGTTCTTCATCTTCATCTGGTGTTAAAGTTTCTTCTTCTGTGTCTTCATAGTCACTAATAAAAGCAGAGTCTTCCTCTATACCTTCTTGCACCCTAGCCTTACTAGATCTCTGATTTTGCCCTGGCAGTTTACCCTCACCAGCTTCTTTTTGAAGAGCAGTTGCAATCCCTAATATCTTGGCATTCCACCCCTTAACTTGATCCCTAACCTTTTGATACTCTTCATCACTGGTATCAAGATCTGACAAAACCAGACCCTCTTGTATGTTCTCTAGGTCTTCCTCTTCTGAAGTATCACCTTGGAAATCAGAATTGTCATCATTTATGTTACCTTCTTCACTTGCAGGAGTGTACTCTGGATCATCTGAGTCTTCTTCTTCATCCCATGTAAATGGGCTGTGGGGCCTGTCAGCCTGAAATGAACCTGGAGCAGTGATCTGAGGTTGTGAAGTACCCACATGAACCTTAGATCCTCCCCTAGGACTAAGTTTCTTCTTCTTATTGGATGACATTATCTCTGCACATTCATTTTGTCCCACATATTCAATTGCTTGAATTAAATCTGGCACATCAATTCCATGAATGACATAGCAGTCAACGCACTTTGTCTTTAAGACTACATCTATCATATCCCTCACTTGATCATCATGATATGCCCTTCTCAATCCCTCTTCATAGCTTAGATTAGGTACCATGTAGTAAATGGCTTCAATAGTACAATAATCCCCACATTTCTTAGCTAGTTCTTCTAACCAAAACCAACATAGTTTGTCTGCATCTACATCAAAAATTCTAAAAGTACCTCCCACGTATTGTAGTCTACCCCTACTGTCCTTCTTAAATACTCCCTCATGCCATATACGCAGTTTAACCTGAGTTTCCCCTAAAACCTAAAAGTGAAAATCAGACAACTGAGTTCCAGGAACAAAAATTAACATCAATGACAACTGTATGAACAAAGCAACAAAGACAAAAAACGAAGACATGATAGTAGACAAAAAACGAAGACAAAAAAGGAGGGAAAGGATTCCAATTTACCATTCTTCTTTCCGTGGACGTATAACCTTTCTTCAACCCCTCTTCGTTCCTCGTTCCTCAATCTGTAATGGCGACAACTTTGTTTCCCTATCCTTTGTCTTCAATTGACCTAATAGTCAGACCGTTGTTAGGTAGCCAATTTTAAGTGTTACCAGTTCAACCGGTTGCCAGTGCACTGAGAGTGTTTGTGGAAGGTTACCCCTTTAATACGTATTAATCTAGAATTACGCATGTGAGAGATTAATAATGAAAGACCGGTAATAGGTGGGATTATTAGTGTGAATTTTTCCTACTTTGAGAGCAGTCTATGGTGAACATTGTTCTCTCATAGCTAGAACACGTTTGAACAATAAACCGTAACACTCATGAAGATTTTTTTGTTTTGTTTTAGTAGCAGGGTGAACACTAATTTTTGTTTTGTTTTAGTAGTGTAACTCGCGTTTACAGAAACGTAACTCACGTTGATACAAAAGTGCAAAAATATGAAAATATATATTACTCCGTACAAAAAGTGTATGCATATAAAATACTATCCTCCGTTCCGTTTTAATCGCAAATTCGCAACATGTTGAATTTTACACTATTCGTATGCTCTACTTTGACTACATTTTACAGTATTACCTTATGAAAATTATTTTTTTTTTAAAATATTGTTCAATTCATCTCATTACAAATATTCAAAATCTGATTTTTAATTTTTTTTTTACTAATAGAATTAAGATATAATTACAGTCAAAGACGTGTGTTGACAAATGTGAAATGTTGACCGTTGCAACTAAAAAAGAATAAAGGGAGTATATTACAGAAAAAAGTGCATGAATATGAAATGCAATAAACTTATCTTATTTAGATCAGTAAAGTTTTTTTTATGATGTAACGATCCCATAGTAAATTTGCCGTGACGGAGTCAGAAAAATATGTCAATGAGATCAAATTTAGTCATCTACAATATCATAAGGTCAGATCATTTTCACACAATACTTGAGTTAAATAATTCATATATGAGTCAAACACATGTTACATTAGATGAGACCTAGAGAGTTATGTGTTTAATATACGGAGTATAACTTATACGGAATATATTATAAATTTTACGTAGCCATGAATGAATATAACTGATTTTTGGAATTAAAGAGGAGTATTATACGTCAAATTGTTTCCAACTTACACTACAAAAAAATGGCTTGTACGTGACTAGTTAGTCACGGTTCTAGTCACGGGCTAGTCACGGATTGTTTAAAAAAATAGTCACGGATACGTCTGTGACTACGTCCGTGACTACGGTTAGTCACAGATTATATCCGTGACTAACCTATTCCGGCCAACCCAATTTTGCCTCCGGCGTTTTTTTTAATTTGAAATTAGTCACGGACGAATCCGTGACCAATTCCATGACAAGATTCAAAATTAATTTTTTCTAACGCTCCAAAGTTAAAGTGTACCGATAAATCGTACAAAATTACGTAGTCACGGACACACCCGTGACTACGTCCGTGACTACATGTTTTATATATGCAGCCTCCGCTTCATTCAACAAAAGCACACGATCTATTCCAGATAGAATTTCAGATAGAATTGAAGGATGTAATCTACCCATCTTATATCATTTTCCCGGTTTATGCAGATAAGGTATGTAATTTGAATTACGTATTTTTGTATGAATTAGTTGGTTCATTTTTCGGATGTTCTTTCACCAGAGACTTCTTTCCCTCTCGTCTCTTCCACCTTCACATGTTCTCACAGTCTCTACTCTCTAGCCTCAACTAACGACCTCCGAGCAGGCTGTTTGAAGTTTCAACCTCTCCACCACCAGGCACCAGCCTCACCAACCAACACTTTTTGCAGGTAATCTCTTCACCCTTTATTCGATTTTTCACAACTTTCAGCTTTTCAGAAAAAATTAAATACGGTTTGTTGTTTACAACCCTAAAGATTCAAAATTTATGTACAAACATGGATGTCTATACATATGAATGTGTGTGAAATTGTGAATGGTTGATAGAAAGTTAGAAGTAAATATAAGGAACTCAATGTTGGAACTGTGCAAGTTAAGTGTTTGACAAATGTCCTGAAAGATATATAAATCATATTTTTTTTAGCTTCTATAGGTTGGGTCTGTTGGGATTTGGATAAATGAACTGTTCTTGCAATACTCATAGTTTATCATGCTAATTAATTTAATTTATTTCAGAATGGATGTGTTGTTTATGGCTTATAAACTTATTAGGTATAATTTTAGTTAAACTGTTAAAGTTATTAAATTAAACCTACTAAAAATTTAAAACCGTTTATAAGTTTATATAAACTTAAACTGTCAACTTTGAGCATTCGTTTATAATTTAATGTCAACTTGGTAGTCTATATTATCTAAACACAAGAAATTCATTTGGATTTTAAGTAATAATGCTGATGGTTTTGTATTAAATGATGTATTTGCATAGAAGTATAGAACGATGGCTCTCTTACATGCCTCATCCTACTGTTCTAGGATCTAAATTGATCTGTACCTTGGCGTTTATGTTAACTCGCACTACAGAGTACAAAATCAGATATTATTGATCACCAAACTCAAACCCAAGGAAACTGGCAGGCAATGTAAGTTTTTCGGTCAAAGCTACTGGCCTACAGCCTTGGCTTTTCTGCTAGCATGAACATTCAAGCTTTCCGGTAGTTCTAATTCAAATTACAATCAACTGTTTTAAGGTTTAGACTTTAGAGTATAATGTGGTAGGAAGTAGTACTTAGTTGGACAACTAAAGCAAAATGGAAGCCAGGAAGCAACTAAGTACTCCATGACAGCAAACAAAAGTTCTAAAAACAAATGAATGCAGTACAATGCCATTGGTAAGACAGAACTGCAGAAATAACATGGTAAATAACAAGAATTTTATCATACTTATGAGCATTTAAGAGGTTCAGGATACCTGCAGGAACTGTTACTTGAATACTTGCTAAGTTATTCATAATTTGATAACAAAAAATAGTTTAAAAAGTCATGACTTTGAATCTGATTCCGAAGAAATAAATCTGGATATTTATTTTTTGTCCAATGGAGAAGAAGAAATGGCTTAGCTTTCAAGGCTTTGAAGCTGATTTTGTACTTCCTATTAAACTATTAAGGAGATGTGTTGCCTCTTAACTTGTTCTAAATTTCTTTTTGTATTATGAATCCTTGATTACTGATTAGTTGACTGAACTTTTAAACTTTTGTTTACAGTTTATGTTATTTGGGATGGTGATCTATGTTGAACTTGTTAGGTTCGTTGCTTATTGAGTTGTTCAATGGAAGCTCCTATTTTTTTTATCATTTATGGCATTAAATCATTAATTATGGAAGTTGGTTTTTAAATTCTTTTACTGCATACATGGATAAACACATGGGTGAACGACTGAATTTAGGCAAAAAAATCCATGCTCCGAGTTGCCGAGTGCCGACTAGTCGTCGATTAAGCAGCCTAGGCGCTAGGCGGCCCTCTGCCGCCCGATTAGCGCCTAGCGAGTTTTAGAACATTGATTTCAACTACACCAAATTTGCCATTTTCATTTCTAAACTACAGTTTTAGGTATCTTTGTGATTTTGTCCTTGTACTATTATAAATGTACAATTGACCTTATTTAGTCTGTCGCTAGATGTTATATGTGTTTTGAAATCCAACCATATTTTGCAATTTCTTAAGATAAGAACACATATCTTCCTGCATGATTTCATTTGAACTTTAATAATTAATCACTCTCACACAAAAACCCACTTTTACTAGAATATGACTTTTAAAGTTTAAGATGGTATGACTATTGAAAATCATCTGCTATAGATATATTTTCAATTTCAAAACAGTTACGGAGTATAATAAAAAACATTTTTTGAAACAACATTGGAATATAAGATATAATAAAACTGCATTTCTTTGTTCAAATCGAACAAGCTAATGTTCGTTTTAATTTGCAGCGGCGACCCTAAACCCCAACTTGTCCTTGTCTCTCTTCTGGACTAGCGATTCCTAGCGTTGAAGAAGTCTTTGCTGCAGGTTGCATCTACTGACCTCTCTCCTATATATAGTTTTAAAATAGTCAATTGTTTTAAACCGAGGAAAATCATACTTTGTATATGTGCGTACCTAATCTTACTTTTCTTCACCAATGCTTTCGAGTGATGTTTTTTTAATTGTTCTGGTTGTAATCTCGCATCCTGACAAAAATCTATGTGTGTGTTTGTGTGTGTTTTTAGTAGAAATCAATGTATCTTGTGTTTGCATAGATTCGAATTTGTTGGACTGTTTGATCTCTCAAAGTGGTTATGAGTAGAAGTGTTGTGTTATTGATATAAAAAAGTATATAAATATGCTCTAGGTTTCTAACTTCTTCTGATGATATCACAACTGTATTAGGCATATTTAAACTTTTCAAGTAGCAGGTTACTTGTCTAAGCAAAACTTAAGTGTGTCCAACACACTTAAGTGAATTTTAAGCAAACTCACGGTTAGAAGTAATTACAAACTATTTTATATCGTTCGTTCACCTTCTAAAATATTTCTGCATATGTTCTCCTCCAAACTGTTTTTTCTTATTTGACGAGTATACTTTTCAATATCTCCTCCAATAGCAAAATTTCACTTCTAGCAACTTTCTTTGAAGTCATATGCCCGTTTTTTCTTGATATAATTCTACTCAAATTCAGTTTTCTCATCTATGTGTTAGGCTTTTTTCATGGATAAAAGTTGGATAACAGCACCTCGGCCGGTTAGTGAACTTTTGTTTGATTTTTAGTAGTAAATAAATGTATGCATGTGATCATTTTTTAGTACTGAGCTTAGATGATTTTTCATAACATGAGAAGGGTTTATTTGATCCTTTTTCTATTTTTAGTTTTAATGAATAAAACTTGAGTTTTGGTCTTTTGGGTTGATAAAGAAGAAACAACAAAGACTTATGACATGCTCCTTTAGGGATCTCATCATCTAATAACTCTGAGTTAAGTGTGTTTGCAACCACGTTGGCTTGGGCTATGGAGACGTTCGTCCCCAACTGGGAAGCCTAATACGGATCGTGGCGAGGTTCGTCCCCACGTTGGCTTGGGCTATGGAGACATTCGCCCCAAATGGAAAGCCTAATACGGACTTGAAATTGCTAAATTAACCTCGTCTTAATAGAAAAAGTTTTAAAGCCGTCGGAGCTCACGCCGGAAGGTTAAGAAATGATAACTAGAGAAAATGATGGGACAAGATGTGGCGAAGTTGGAAGTTAGGTACAAAATGTGGAAGTGGCGTAATAGTCATGGGACCAAAAGTGTACATTTTTCAATTTTCTTTTTTGGATTTTCTTCTTTGGATCTTCAAAAATATAACTATCTTTTTGTTTAATTAATTCAAAAACAATTCATTCAAATTTATATGCAATCTCTGTCTCACCCCCACCCCACACTTGCTCAGTGCCGTCGGAAATTGCTATCACAAATCGCCTCTGTAATAGCTATAAGAAAAATCTAACGTTTTTTCGCTTTTTAGATTCTTTTCGAAACATTGTTAGTGCTATCACAAATTGCTATCTTTTTGTTTTAATCCCCTTTTCGGAAGTTTACAAGTCCTATTTATAGGCTAAGGAACTAGTGTTACAAAAGAAAACCGATACAATAAATGCTATTAATTATGCATTAGTTCGAATAGGACTCTTGTAACGTCTTGGCCGTTGTGCAATGATTGTTCCTTTATTCCCACGTTCCAGCCGTTTAACTCCTGCCAGCTACCGTTCCAATGATAGCATGCCACGTCAGCCCTAGGGATATCCCAGCCTCACTAGAACTCCGCCCAGGCTCGAGGCATGCTTTCCAGCCTGGCCTGGCTGTGGGTTCCTCTCGCGGGCTTAGTCCGTAGTTAGGTCCAGTGATTATCTAGCATTGATCCCGTTAATTAGGCTAATCCCCGTAGAGGGGTTAATCCTGTCATGGGCTGGATTGTGTAATTGAGTCATGGTCGGAATCCATGGTACCATCACGAGCCTCCTACTCTCCAAAATCACGAGCCCCCCTACTCTCCCGAGCGGACTTCAAGCGGTTTCTCAAGCCCTATTTTTTCGGCTATTTAAACACTTGTCATTCTACATCACGCTCTTTCGCAATCTTCTTTTCGCTTCGACATTCGTCTTCTTGGTTGGGAGCTCTAGGCCGGACAACTCTTTTCCCCGTCTTCAAGCTTCATCAAGTCAGCTTCCCTGATGTCTTCTTCAAGTTCCGTCCCCTTACACCATGTATTCCCCGAAGTTGGGGCCTCCTTTGAACGGCCCCGCATTCCGGTGGACCTGGATGGGAGGGAAACTCACTTCTTTCTCTCTCGCGAGTATGCCCGGCAAGGCCCGGCCGTGGCTTTGTCTGATGCCGAATTTGGCGAAGCGGTGGCCCTAGCGGGCCCTAGCGTTGTCTGTTCCCGTCCCACCCCTGGACAAAATATCGTCGATTCTCCTTCCCCTCTTCATTTCGGAGTCCATCTGGCCAGTCTTCAGGTAGGCCTCCGATTCCCCCTCCATACTGCCGTTCTGAGTGTCATGGGTTACTATGGCGTGATTCCTGGCCAATTTTCCCCAACCACCCATATGTTCATAGCCGGGTTCCTTGCCCAATGCCTGCACTTGGGTATTCGTCCTTTCATTGATATGTTCCTTCACTTCTTCCATTCTGTACGACCTGGCGGTTCTGAGTCCCCATGATACCTCTCGATTTCTCAACGGGCTGGCCATCGTTTGTTCAGGGCCAAATCTTATCCCGACTCCTTCAAGGGTTGGAGGCAGAAGTGGGTATGGGTCACCCTTGTGGACGGAAGGTTGCAGTTTAAGAACAAGTGGGGGGAGGTAATTCGGAAATGGGCTATGCCTTTTCTATCAGGGGGCAATAAGGAGGCCGCCAAGATGATCGCTGATGGTGCACCATTCTTGATGGGCCATTGTAGGTGAGGACGGAGTGGTTATTCTTACCTTTTTGCCAGGTCGGCTTTGTCTGAGTTGGCGTTCATTCTTTCCTTTTTTCCCTTGAATGTCCCTTTTCTGACTTGATTTGTGTTTGATTTCAGAGGGTGAGAAGATGGCCTTCCGGCTAGAACGACTTGCGGCGAAGGCTGGTGCCACCCCTGGTCCCTTAGTTCATGCCTGGAGAATCCATACCCGGGGGAGCGTTGGGGTAACCTCGAAAAAGTCAATGGAATCCGCCCCTAGAGATAGTGCTGGGCCTCTGAATATGCCGACCGTTGACCCTCAGCCCCCCATTGATAAGGGGGTTGGGAAGAGGCTGGCACTCCGGCCTATCTCCGGACCCAAGAAGAAAGGAAAAGTTGCCATCAAGTCTTCTGAAGATGTTGTTGATGTGGATTCGGACTCAGACGCTGAGTCCCAAGGGGGATGGCAATCAGGGAGAAACCCCGGCACCTGTTCATTCTGTTCGCCTCTTGATGAAGTCTGGCTCTGTAACGTCCACAATTTTACACATTTAAAAAAAACAAATAATAATAATATAAAACTCGAAAGTAAAAGTGAAAACATAATGAACAAAAAAATCGGATTTGAAGGGGTTTTAGCTATTTAAATTACGCTCCGTCGTAAAATAATCTACTATACGTTAAAAAGTGAATTCGACCGGCTTAACCAATAAATATTTTCAGAAAAATATCTAATAGCTAAGTGGTTAGGAGGGGTCAAAGGTAGTAACCTACTTTTACCGAGTTAAATCAAAATAGTATATGGAGTTAGAATGGTCTAGAAACGTATATGTATATAATGAAAAGGTATTAACATTGTCATACGGATATACATTAATACATATGACATGTTAATGCATATTGAACAAGTGGCCATTTCTATGCACTAATGCACTCCATATGTATAATAGCATGCACTCCTAAGCCACTCGGCACACTAAAAGCATGCATGCAAAAGAGAACAAATAATATGGGCTAATATAAATACACATGCAGACATGAATTACTTGAAGAAATATTGAAAGATCGGTTGCTAAGCTAGTGTTCTCATATAACACTATGAATAACCTATGCCTTGGTGCACGTGCTTGCTATAATAAGAGAGAGAGAGAGAGAGAGAGAGAGAGAGAGAGAGAGAGAGAGAGAGAGAGAGAGAGAGAGAGAGAGAGAGAGAGAGAGAGAGAGAGAGAGAGAGAATTAATAAGATAGAAGAAATAGTGAGGTGAAGGGATTTGGGCAATCTGGAGAAAAAAAGGAGAGGCAAGAAACGGAAAAGAGGTTAAAAGGTTAGGGAAAGGGAGAATAAGGGGAAAAGCTTGTCAAAGTTTAAGGTTTGTGTTCATTCCTTCTCCTAGATATATTTTAAATTATATTGTTATTGTTTTAATTTTATTGATACATTTCAGTTTAAATATACTGTTTAGCTAAACCGTTATGTTTTAATTTGCATGTTGATCTATTAATTCTTTGAAGAATAACATTGTTTTACTTACGAATTAGAGACACGTTACATGCTATAAAATTAAGGGAATGGGTGGTAAAATGTTAAAAATAAAATATAACGATGTGGAATTATAATAGACGTTTACTTAGTTCAGCTTATAAAATGATGGTCTAATATTGAAAATGACATGTGATATGAGATTAATGTTAAAATCGAATAATAATCCTCTCCTTAATAGCACTACAATTCCACCCAAAAAATTCTCGCTCACCTAAACTTTTTATAACACCCGTCCGATTCTCATAAACTAAATCAACTGCTTCTACCTTTCACATTCATTTTGTTTCTCTTTCGATCGGTGCCTTCTACGGAGATCTACCCTTCCTAAAAAATAGACGGAATCATCTCCTTGGAAATCATCCGAAAAATAGATGGATATTCATCTAGCTGAAATCATCTCCACAAATCAGCCAAAAAAGAAATGGATATTCCTTCATTCAGATGCATTCTTCTTTCTTCATCTTCCCGAATCCTCTTAGCCGAAAGCATATTGGCCGAAGTCCATCCGATTCAAACTGAGATCGAGGCAAGTTATTCTTCTAAATCATATACTCCATTTTTTATTTTAAATTGATATCCAACTTGGAATTGTTAGGTTTGTATAACTTAGAAGATTGTTTCAGATTTTGTAAGGAAGGAAGGTGTTTGTTAAATTTCCTCAATCACGTATCACTTTCTACAATTATATTTTTCATCCTGGCTATTGTATATTGACATCACTTTCTCAATCTGATCTCTTTTTACACAATTAATATCTGAGTTTGTATTTGTTATTTTTATTGTTCATTTTTTACTTCATGGCAATATGAGAACCTTTAAAATTTAGGGATAAAAACAGTTTTGAACTTTTGATGCACAATACCTACTTCTTGACAAATTTAAGTTATTATGACCTAATAATTGCCTTCTCCAGGCTCCAATCTATATTTGTGTGATATGATCCATCAGTCCATCACACAATACTATTTTATTTCTAAGAAAGAATTTGTATTTCTTTCTTTGGCAACTTTACAGATTTTGATGGCCTTTTAATGGCCTAACAGTTTGCTAAAAGTTTTTGATAGCTTTTTGTAATCTTAAGAAAGAAATAGATGCTTATGTGCTCTGTCTGGCCTTTAAAGCTGACTTTGCAATCTATATATTACTTAGGAAGTTATATACTACGTATATCTTACAAAGTTATGCTCTTAAGAAGTTATATACATATCTTAAGGTGTTATATATGTCTCAAGAAAGAAATAGCAGCGTTTTGTAATAGCTCACTTTGCAAGCTGATTTTATGGTGTTATATACATATCTTAAGGTGTTATATATATCTCATGAAAGAAATAACAGCGTTTTGTATAGATATATCTTAATTTCTGAATACTTTAAGAATATATCGCGTGTTCTCAAAGAAGACACACGCATACTTCAAGGATACTATGATGTTTCATTCAAACTAAACTGATCGAAAAGTTAGTTTTTTCTTATACTGATTTAACCCAATAATTGAGAAGCTTTACCTTCTAAGAATAGTTTTCTGAAAAAATATGATCAGTTTGATTGTTATTTTGATCTTTTAATGTTCAATAACCATATGATCACATAATTTGACTAAATTGAGAAGTGTTTCACTCACTTTGTTTAGTTTGAGTGTTACTATTCTTTAAGTATGAGATTGACATTCAAAGTATTCCTCTGATATTGTCTCTGCTCATTTGTTTTTCTTTCCTTCTAGAATTTATTCTCAATGCCAAGGATTTTCATAAATTGATATCATCCTCTACAAAGTAGACCACACCGATTTTTAGTTTTATTTTCTTTTCGATGTATTGTTTTTTGTTATTCACTTTTTTCCGTTTTTTAGACTTTTTTCTGAATCTTAATGTACCCTAATTTTTCAAGCACACTACATTAAGTTAAGCCATTAATTATACTTTTAGGAATTTCAATTATACTTCTAGGGATTTCATAAGTATTTAAGGTGCTTTTTAAGGGTTTAAATGTACTTTGACAAAAAACCAATTTTTTAGCAAAAAACCAAATTTCCCAAAACTGTTACTTTAACATATTTCAACTTTATGTTCATATATTTCATATATTTTATATGGTTTAGAGGACTCCGCGTATACAACCATTTCAGCTACCATTTAAGCCATCTAAGCCACTTTAGGACTTCACAAATGGGCCCTTAATATGCATCAAATAAGTGTTACCATGTTCTTCCCATTTAATTGTGTACTTGAAGTTCGAGAGAAATATTAAGAAATGTATACATACACATTTATAATGATTTGTCCAAATTGTGTGTCTGCATATCTTTATGAGCTACCTTACTTATTTATTTATTAGATAAAGTCATCTAGGGTCAATAAATATTAAGATGAAATCCACATTGTAGTTGATTTCTCGAACTACTTTAAGTATGATATTCAATTCGTGTAATACAGCCACACATAAGAAATGAAGAAAATAAAAATTCATTATCCGGTAGCTTAGTGAAAAAACTATAATACAGCCACACAGTTTTGAGACCCGTTTAACTATTTTATATGGAAGTTAAGGGTAGGATTTAGTTTGATCTCATATCAAAAGCTCTTTTACCATATTTGAGTTTTAGTTGTTAGTTCATTTATTGGCCGTGTCTTAATGGACCTATGTGCACAAGTATGAATAAGTGTGGCATGTTATTAGGGCTGTGAGTGACATATTTAGTTTATAAAATCTGAAAATGATTTGAGGAAATTGAATCAAAAAACAACATATTGTTGGCATGTTGCTGCATTTTGCACTCCTGGGAGCTGTTTGTATTTTGTTTTGGAGATATTTGTCGGAGTTTATATTTATGGTACTTTAATTTTGGGAGATTGAGTTTTGTTTTTACTTGGGTTATTGCAGCTGATAAAAGGGTGGTTTGGCTGGTCAAATATTTTATGTTGAGTTGCTGATAGGAGATTCTGTTATTTGCATATCTTAGCAAATTTGTGATGCACCTAGAGTAAGGATGTCCAGGAATTGTCAATCTTTTGATCAAAATTCCAGTTGAGGACTGCACAAAAGCATCCTAATACACGGACCTGCTAATATGTTTTGGGGAATGGCATTTTTCATTGGTGGGTGATAAATTGCTTCTCACTAAAGTCTTCACTTTTAAGCTTCCCTTTGGTATATAGGGTTTCAATTAATATCTATCTTAGCTTTCTCTCATTAGAGAACTTCGAGCACATACTTTTAAATTTTGAATGATGTCTGAAACAAACGGTAGTGAGAAGTTCCTTATACTCGGGTTTAGTCTTTCTCTAAGAGATGTGAGTTTTGAGGTCTTTCATGTTTCGGTAGACAATTACCTTTAATAGAAAGCTTTGCGATGTTAATGATCGTAAAGGGAAATTGTTGGAAATCATGGGTGTTTGATGGTGACATTCCTTTTTACGCATAAATCGTTGTACGTTGCAATTTTGAAATCCAAAAAAAATATATGGCTTACAGTTCATGATACACGATGACTAAGGAAATCCAAAAAAGTTACTACCTCTGGGCTCCGTCCCCCCTAACATTAGGACAGAAGAAAGTGGCATGGTTTTTAAGAAAAGTAGAATTATGTGATTGATAATGAGTTGATAAAGTGGGAATAAAATAAGAATGAATTAAAGCCACACAAATGTTACCAAATATGGTATGAAACAATAATAAAGGGGACATCCAGAAATGAAAAAATGGGACAACTATAAAGGACGAAGGGAGTATAATTTATAAAAAGGCATTGTTCACTATGCAGTCTTCAATAATTAATAGTGTGTTTATTAAAATTCTAATAATATTTATTTATAATTTCTATCATTTGTGTGATAAATAATATTATAATTTTTGAACACATTTATAATATTTGTGTATTACATCCCGTGCAACGCACAGGTGAAATACTAGTAACTATAATGAGTTAGAGTTCAAATGGGAGCCATTTCAAACTAGTAATTAATATGCGTAGTATAAGATACAAAGAATTGAACTTGAGAATTATATGTATAAAAGTCAAATTTGACGTTACATGTTGAAACAAATTGGTACGTACGGAAATTATATATATAAATAAATAAATAAAAAACATGAGCAAGTTAGCAAGTACGAGAGTTTATTTAAATGAACACAATCTGAGATATCATTATGTTATTGGTTATTCTCTAAGTTAATTACAATTATATTATTTTGAATTGGAAAATAATAGTATGAATAATAACATGGCATATAATTTTTAAAATAAGATGGCTTTTACACGTACTGTTTTAAGTAACATGATTCATATGTGTGAAACTAAGTTGTTTCTAATCATAATAATTACTTAAAGCCAAGCATATAAATTGAAAATAAGTAAATGTTGAATATATTACAAATATATGTTCACAACATTGTAAGTCAAAAAGAAAAAGGAGTTATATTTCATCAATCTAAACTAAACTAGTGATCAAGATATAAATTATATCAATCGGAACTAATGATAATAGTTCGAAAGGAAAAATGCCATTATAAAGATTATACGAACTCATACTAAGAATTTTAAATAGATAAAGGAAAAAGGAATTTGAAACCTTGTTACTGGATTTGGATAGATTGGCATGCCAATAGGGATAGTTAATACGGCTGTAGAATTTAATCGATTAATTACGGGTCCGCAGCCACAGAGTGGACAATACCCGAATTATGACGTTAAATTATGGGTCCGCAACCACAAAGTGGACAGTACCCAAATCTTGAACTTTGATCGTTTAGGGTCCGCAGCCACAAAGTGGACAGTACCCAAATGAAAGGCCTGGCCCACACAATGGTCAGTGCTGATACTACTCAGATGGTCCGCAGCCACAGAGTGGACAGTACCAGATGAGGAATGTCCCGTTTATCCAGTCCATTAAACTAAGGAGTAGAATTTCAAAAATTTGATAAAAGAATAAAAATGGGCAAAAGATAAAATTGAGAAAATGAAAATTTAAGTGAGACAAGTAGAATGCCGAATGAAATATTGAATTACAACGAGCTATGATATAGCTGATGTGAACTTTTACTATAATATGAAGTTGTGAAAATGAGGCTGAAAGAATGGGAAGAAAATGTGAAAGCACAAATTGAGGAAATGAGTTAAAAGATATGTATATAAAAACGAAAGACGATAAGAGAATGTAAATTATATTCTGTTGAAGGATTAGAGGTTACTCATATAAGAAAATCATACTTTGAATATAGCTTTATAAGCTATAAATAAAAATTATTAGATACTCCGTATTAAGGATTTCATAATGAATTATGTTTATAAGCTAATACCGAATTGAGTTAGTTGTGATTATAAACTTTTGAGATTTCAGGAGTTGATCTTGCTTATTATTATTAACTGAAAAGCTTCTTGAAGTAAAATGTATTATTTTGAGATTTATTAGTCAAACGGGTAAAATTAAATCTGGTTAAGTTTATATTTTTCAATTTAGTATATTTGTGATGTCATTTTTAATTGTTGATTTACTATGTGATATTTGATTTTGAAATTGTATCGAGAAAGAATGAACATCACTAAGCAAGATTTTCTTAGCGCGTTAGGATTTTTGTCCTTCGCGTAGGTACCTAGTTGATATGAGGCACAAAGTTCAAGGAGGAAAGCATTTGGGAGCAATCTGTCAATCAACACAAAGTCACACTTGCATTTAGTAATGTCTCATTTTTAGTAGTTAGCTTACTAGTATAATGTAATAGCAACACTAAACAATTATGTGGCATGTATAAAATAAAGATGCTTCCGCAATTATGAACATTCACAAAATTACTTTCATTAGTTGATTTGAAAGAAAAGTATTAATGAGATATTTTAAAATAGAATAGTTAGTAGACGTTTTGGTGCTCCGGCACTGCGGGTAGCGCTCCCTGCTCAGACTTCCGGGCCAGGTAGGGGGTGTTACAGGCTCTGCCTCTCTGTTCCGCCGCACTGTGAACCCAGTATCGTTGGACCTGGCTATCACTCATCCCCTTGACAAGGAGGAGATCCGGGGTTTGTCTCCCCGGACAGCCATCCGGCGCGTCGTCCATTCTCTTTCTGATGTATGCTTTACTACTTTTATAGCTGCTCTATCTTCTTCTAATTTGCCTTTGCTCATAATCCTGGTTTTGTTATCTCCAGGCCTTCGTCTTGGCCTTCTCAGGCTCCCGCCGTCTGGATGAGGGGTAGGATGACGCTCAATCCCTGATGGCCGGCGTCAAGGAGCAAATTGCAGATCTGGAGAAGAGGCTGGGACTGGCTGTGCAGAGGGGCGAGACACTTCAGAAGAGGTTAAGCGATGTTGAAGTTGCGCACCGTGTGGTGGAGGAGGAGCTGAGGAGAAAGGCTGAGGAGGCTGGCCCGGCCGCTGTCCAAGCCTTCAAGGGGAGCGAAGAGTTTAAGGCCGAGGTGGAGCAGAAGATCCTGGGCCGAAGGGAGGAAATTGCCCTAGGCTGGTTCCAGACCCATGAGGGCGAGGCTAAGTTGGATGATGAGGGGGCACTGTGTTTCCAGTTGGGGCAATATGGGATGCAGAAGTCCTTTTATGATCTTCTTGCAAAGAAAGACTCCTCCTTCTCCGCTCAGGCCTGGGGTTTGCCGGTATTGATGACGGATCCAGAAGCCCCTGTGGAGGCCCCGGTTGCTGACCCCCTGCCTCTGAAGTTCCTCCTGCGTAATCTGGTAATTGAAAAACTCCTCCTAATGACATTTTAACATACATCTTTTCCAGACCTGCGCGCCTGTAGTGGTTTTCCACCCTTGGGGTGGCGTGTAACAGACACCTTTTACTCTGCCTTTATTTTCTTGCACATATATTATGATGACTGCTTTTTGATCATCTCTGTTGACTGCTCATTTGCTCTGTGCATCCATGTGTGTTTGAGGTTTTCGGCTCTTTCCGGGCCGGTTTCTTCCTTTTGACTTGCCGTGTCTCGGTAGTTGACCTCTGTCTTGGACCTGTAGAATTTGTATGCTCCGGGGTAGTCCTTGGATTCCTTTGCTTAGTTATATCAATTCACTTAGTTCTTTATGTATTCGGCCTTGAATTGTCGATCAAGGTCATCTTTCCTTTGTTAAGGATGATTTTACCAATCCTGGACCTACAGGCTCTTAATAGTTGAGCCAAGCTAGGTGGGCCTTACCCTAGGTTACTCAGACCCGAGTGATTAGCCTCTTGATTGGCGAAGAACGCTGGCTTCTCCGGTGCAAAGTTAATTCCATGATTTTCATCTCTTAGCCCTTTAAAATCTTAACCTTGCGAGAGGTTGTCCATTCATGTTTGAGGAAATCTGATTTTGTGTATGTATAGGGTTGTTTAACCTTTAGAAAGGTTGTTGTATTCCCGCTCTCGTCTTTTAGGAAGACTAGATTGAGCTTCTGGAATTAGATGAGTTCGGAATTTGTACTTTGTCTTATTTGCGAGTACCAATTAGGCATAGTTGAGCCCCTTTTTTTGGCCGATCCGAAGACCTTCGCAATTTATAAAGGACTTAGTAAATCAAATCATAACTTTATTGAAATTTGGAGTGAGGAATAGAGTGTTACATGCTTACTGATAGAACTTCATCAAGTGTTCAGAGTTCCACACACTATCTACCAGTTTTCCTTTAGGAGTGCATAGCTTGTAGGTTCCTGGCCCAACTATTCATTTGATTTTGTAAGGGCCTTCCCAGTTTTTGGCAAATTTGCCGCCCTCTAGAAGTTTGCTGGCCGACCTTCTTCTCAGAACCAGGTCTCCAACGTTAAATTGTCTTAGTTTGACTCTTGCATCGTGGTATTCCTTCACCCGCCTTCTATAATTCTCGGCTTTGATGAAGGCTCTGTCCCTCTTTTCTTCAATTAGATGGAGTTCGGCCATCAACATCTCCTCGTTTTTACTAGGATCATAGTCTTCCACCCTTCTGCTTGGGACTAGGGCTTCCGAAGGAGCCCGGGCCTCGAACCCATAAGTCAACGAAAACAGGGTCTCCCCAGTTGCTTTCCTTGGGGTTGTTCGGTATGCCCAAAGGATATTGTTTAGCTCGTTTACCCAAGTTGTTCCCATGTACTCTAGCTTCTTCTTTAGGCCACCAATGATCGTTCTATTCACGTTCTCCACTTGTCCATTGCATTGGGGGTAAGCGACTGACGCTCGGCTGGCCTCGACTCCCCACTGCCCGCAAAATTCTTTGAAGTGCTCTGAGTCAAATTGCTTTTCGTTATCGGTGATAATCTGCATGGGAACACCGAACCGGTAGAAGATATTCCTCCAGACGAACTTCTTGCATTGTTCTGCGGTGATTGTGGCCATTGGCTCGGCCTCAACCCACTTGGTAAAATAATCAACTGCTACTATCACGAATTTCCGACCTCCTGAACCCTGTGGAAGGGGGCCCACGAGATCTATTCCCCACCTTGCGAAGGGGATCGCAGTACTGATCGGGATATACAAGGTGGCCGGCCTGTCTGGATTTGTTTGAAATTTTTGGCAGACCTCACATTTTCGTGCGAAGTCTGCGCAGTCCCTTATCATGGTTGGCCAAAAGTATCCCTGTAAAATAGTCTTTCTGCTCAAGGTAAACGCACCTTGGTGTGATGAGCAAATCCCTTCATGTAGTTCTTTGACTATTTGTCGGGCTTGATCTGGCCTGAGACACTTCAAAAGTACCCCATTATAGCTTTTCTTGTAGAGTCTACCATCCTGGATGACGTAATTAGGGGATCGCCTTCTGACCACTTTCGCCTTCTCCTCTTTCTGGGGGGAGCGTTCCGGTCTCGGTATATTCCACCAGGTCATCTACCCAGCATCTCAGAGACTGGTAAAACCTCCAGATCTTTGGTGCCTTCGATGCTTGGTTCACTCAATTCATGTACTTGAGCTATGCGTGTGAGGTGTTCAGGAGCATCCGTTGTTATTTTCGACAGGATATCTGCCTCCGTATTTTGAGCTCACGAAACGCAAAGTAGGTCAGATTCTTCAAACTGTTTTATAATTTCCAGGGTTGTATCCCTGTACTTCCGCATGCGGGCCTCCTTGGCATCATACTCCCCCCTAAGTTGCTTGATGACCAACTTAGAGTCGCTTTTGATTTTCAGTTTTTGAAGTTTGAAGTGTCTTGCAATCCTGAGGCCGGATAACAAGGCCTCATATTCAGCCTCATTATTGGATAACGTAAATGAGTATCTTAAGGCGTGGTAGGACTTGAAACCTTCAGGGGTGGTGAGGACCACCCCTCCCCCGCAACCTTTGGATCCTGATGATGATCCATCAGTCATTAGGGTCCACCAATCTTCCTCTTCACGACGCCTTTCTTCAGCTATGTCTCTCGCGGTACATTCTACCAGGAAGTCCGCTAGTGTCTGCCCTTTTATTGCAGTTCTAGGTTGGAAACTCACCTGATATTGGCTGATTAATAAGGACCACTTTACAACTCGTGCAGTCTTGGCTGTTCGGAATAAGGTTCCCACCCTCAGGTCTGACAGCACCCTGATAGGATGAGCCTGGAAGTAATGGGCGAGTTTCTTGGCTGCTACGTAGACGGCAAGGGCAATTTTTTCCAGGGCTGGGTACCTGAGCTCGGCGCCATGGAGGACCTTACTCACATAATACACTGACCTCTGGATGATTCCTTCTTCTCGCACCAAAACAGAGCTCATTGCGCTTTGAGTTGCGCCCAAATAAAGGATCAGTGTCTCACATGGTTCAGGCTTGCTGAGTAGTAGGTCCGACTGCAGGTACTTCTTCAGTTCTTCGAATGCTTCTTGACATTCTTGGGTCCATAGAAACTCGTTGCTCTTCTTTAGGATTTTGAAAAATGGTAAGGATTTATCGGCTGACCTGGACAGGAACCTTCCCAAGGTAGCCTGTCTCCCAGTTAGGATCTGAACTCCTTTAACATTCCTTGGAGGTTCCATGTCCAGAATCGCCTTGACCTTCTCGAGGTTAGGTTCAATGCCCTGGTGTGTGACCATGAATCCCAAGAACTTCCCACCTTGAACAGCAAAAGTACACTTCTTGGGATTAAGTCAGAGACTTACCTTCTTCATGATAGTGAACACTTCTCGCAGGTCATCCGCGTGGTCATTCGCCTTTTGACTCTTCACGATCATGTCATTGACATATGCTTCCATGTTTCTTCCGAATATCGCTCGGAACACCTTGGCCACCATCCGCGTATAGGTAGCCCCAAAATTCCTCAACCTAAAGGCCATCACTAAGTAACAAAAAACTCCTTCAGGTGTGATGAACGAGGTCTTTTCTGCATCGTCGGGGTGCATGGAGATCTGATGACATCCCCGAAATGCATCCATGAAGGAGAGAAGTTCACAGTCGGCGGTTTGGTCCATGAGCTGATCTATGCTGGGAAGAGGGAAAGGATCCATCGGGCAGGCCTTGTTCAGGTCTGTATAATCTACGCACATCCTCCGGGTGGGTGGCTTGGGAGTCAAAACCATGTTGGCGATCCATTCCGGGTATTGTACTTCCCTTATATGGCCAATGCCCAGCAGCATGTTCACTTCACTCTTCACGAACTCCTTTCTGTCCAAGGATAGGTATCTCCTTTTCTGCTTCACGGGTGTCATCTTTTGATCTACATTCAGACGATGAACAGCGATGCTTGGGTTAAGCCCGAGCATATCCTCGGGGTCCCAAGCAAAAATCATCTTGAATTCTGCCAGAACCCGGACTATCTTCGCTCTCAGGTCGGCCGGGAGTCTTGCCCCAATTTTCACATGGCGTTCTGGCTGTGATGGGTCGATCCCGACCTCCTCAAGCTCTGAGGCCGGTTGGGCTCTGAGTTTCCCATCCTCATATTTAGATAGGTCCTGCTCGATGGCGTTGATCCTCACATCATTTCTCCCGTGAGCCTTGCAGGCTCTCACGTAGCAACTTCGGGCCATCTTCTGGTCTCCTCTCACCGTGCCAGTCCCAGCTGGAGTGTAGAACTTCATGCAAAGATGAGCCTGAAAAATGATGGCTCCCAGGTCTTCCAACAGAGGTCTGCCCAGGATAGCCTTGTGTACGCTCAGTATTTGGACAACAATGAAGTCCGCCTCGATCTCCCGTATGAAGGGCTCCGATCCGAGTTGGATCTTGAGGGTTATCATTCCCTCGGGCTCAATCATGTCTCCCGTAAAACCTGAGAGGGGAGTGCTTACCGGCTTGAGAGCTTCTTTCCGGAGTCCAACCTCAAGGAAGGCATCCATGTAAAGTATATTGACCGAGCTGCCATTGTCCACTAGTACTCTGTGAACAATCGCGTCCGCGACCTCCATCTTGATCACTAGTGCGTCCCTATGTGGTGGGGGACATGGGGGGAAATCATCATCTGTGAAAGTTATAGACTCAAGTTTTTTCTTTTTGTCGGCGGGAAGACGGCTGATCTCGCCGACGAACAGCTGGCAGTTCCATTTCTTTCTCTCCCCCCGTTGTATCCCCTCCCACAGGTCCGCCGTAGATCTGGTTGACGTGTGGTCGTTTCTATCTGCCGGTGTCTTCTCCTTCGTCGTCGTCTTCAAATTGGGCCCCAACCTCCATTTTCTTTGAGGACGAGGTCGGCGCGTCCTTCTCTCTATTCCAGGTAAGTTTCTTTGGTGGATGTTGTCCTTGTTGAGCTCGCTTCACAAACTGCTCCACTTGACCCTCTCGCACGAGTTTTTCTACGTAGTTCTTCAGAATGTAGCAATCGTCGGTCTGATGAGAGTCGGTTTTGTGGATTTTGCAGTATTTGTTTTTGGGGTTCTGATTATGGATGACATTGCACCCCTCAGGGGTGGCGATCAACCCCTTCTTTGTAAAACCGTCCCCAAATGTATTTATCTTTAAGCGAATAATTTATTGAACCCTATGAAATTTTTAGTGAATTTACGAAGTTGTGAATTTGTATTAATTTTTTTTCGCGTGAATAGTAAAATGCACGTGGGGCCCACATCGGGAGTGGGGACCGCCCGATATTATCGGGGCCACATATTATATTGATCTTGGACTAGATAATATGTATATGGTGGTGGATATTCTAGTTGAGCCATGACAATGGCATAGGGTTGACCGGTTGGTCAAACGGGGCCAAATTATCAGTATCGGCGATCTATCAGATAACAGCCCGAAAAGGGATTTCGGAGACTTCTAAATTAAAGTTGAGGAATGCATATTAATTCTAAGGTCCATTAAGAATTGGGAACAAGTGTTATATTTTATTTGACCCGATAAAATAAAATATACTTAAAACAGTCCGGAAAATACAACTTTCGGGGCAAAGTGTACACTTTGGGACAAATTAGGATGACCTCCCACATGGGTGGGGGCCACCCCACGAATTTGTCAACCCTTGAGGGCTGGATGAGTGCCAAGTTGGCTGAATAACAATTGAGAGGATGGGGGAGACACCCTTGACATGTAGTAGACCCCCTCCCTTCACTCATTTGTCTAAATGAGACAAAAACCACCCCTCTCACCTCACCACTTCCACCCACACGATTCAGCACCCTAGGATAGCAAGGAGGGGCTCTGAAACTCCTCATTTTCACACCCAAATTCGAGCTCAAGATAGAGGATCCAAATAGGAGTGCTTGGAGAAGGAAAAAGGTGTAGGAAAGTGTGGAAAATTGAGGTAATCACCTTGCCATAGCTTTCCCTTTATTCTTCTTCTACCATGAGGCATATTTATTATATGAAGAATCCTTGGGATGGTTCTCCATGCTCTAAGTATGGATTTATGGGTTGGAAAGTGGTTCTATGTCCAAGAACGGACTTAGAAGCCAAATCGACCGGTTTGCCGGAAAATAACCTTTATAGGTTATTTGTGTTGATATGGGTTTTGTGATGATAAAACCTTGTTAGGAACTTGATTTAAAGTATCTTTGAGCTTTGCCGGAGTTTCGTCGGAGTTGGTCAAAGTTCGCCGGAGTTGGTCAAAGTTCGCCGGAGTTGGTCAAAGTTCGTCGGAGTTGGTCAAAGTTTCATCGAGGAACGTAGAACGCGCTTAAGCTTAATTAAGGCGAGGATGACCGACTATGTTGCTTATAATCTTGGGTTAATTTCATGGGATTTCCTAAGTGAATACAAATGTGATGTGCATGGGTTGTTAATGGTAAATAATGCCTAAATAAAACTACTATTGGTTAGAAGTAGAGTATGCATGATATACAAATTTATGAATAGATTGTGTATGTTTAGATGTTATGAATATGAGTGTATGATGATTGTACCAACCATGAATTTCATTTGAGATAGTATACTTTGATACCATGAAGAGAAGCCATGAAGGTATAAAGGTGATACTTGATATTAAGGACAATCATGCATGAAGAAAGAATTATATTGAAATAAGTAAATAACTAGTATTGAAATATTAGTTGGAAATGTTAGTTGAGAAATGGATGAATTAGATCCTAAGAATTTGAATTATAAAGAATCGGTGATTATGAGCCGGGCTGAAGACCGATGTAGATAACGGTGATTATGGGCCGGGCCCTAGACCGTAGTAGATGACGGTGATTATGAGCTGGACTCTAGACCGTAGTAGATGACGGTGATTATGAGCTGGGCTCTAGACCGTAGTAGATGACGGTGATTATGAGCGGGACTCTAGACCGTAGTAGATAACGGTGATTATGAGCTGGGCTCTAGACCGTGGTAAAAATGATGAATTGATACTAAATGAACGGATTAACTAAAATGTAACAATGCTCTAGATTGAGGGCCTCAGAGATTTAAACTTCGATTATACTTAGTATAGTTGTCATTGTACTTGTCAAATGCTTCCAAGTACTGACCTCCCCTTCACGGGGGAGACCACCTCACAGTTTCAGGTAGAACTTGAAGGTTGCTACTACCAGCCGCTGTTTCAGGGAGTTTCTGAGAAGAAGACTTGGTTCGTGCTTCTTCCGTTCTTGTTTGAAAACAATATGAATAATGCTCATGGATATTATTTTCTGAATATACATTTCGGGGGGTTTGTATACCCATGTTTGCCAAGTGTGGCTTGAACACTTGTAATGTTGTTTCCGCTGTTTTAAATGAATGATTTACATTATGTTTGTTTATGCATGTTCTATGTGTGAATGATGTTCATGACGCCTTGTATAGTATGAATGAGTTGGACTGCGGTTGACTATTCGTACTGTGCGGCGGGTTGTTGACGTGTCCGGCTAGGTCCGGGGCGTGACAATTTAAATGGTATCAGAGCCTTAGTCCGTAAACATCATAATGAAGTTTCAAAATTTCTTTTTGAAAATGAATTTGAAAACCATGAGCATAAGGTTTTGTACTTATAGAACTTTTGGTACTTGAGTTGCAGTGCCTCTAATTGTTAAGATGGTACCCTTAACAATTGGTATGGTGGTGATTTAAGCCAAAGGATGTCTTTAAGTACCCGTCCGTCATTTGACATTCGATACGAGTTTAATGACTCATTCTAATTTCTTTCAGAAATGGAACCAGTTGGAAGGATCACTAGAAGGAACCCGTTGGGCCGTGCACCGGGTGGGTCCGAGCGCGGTAGCCGGGGGTCCTCTAGGGGATCAAGAGGAAGGGGCCGTGGAGGCCAACGTCAAACCGTGAGCGATGGCCACGTCGATACCGAAAGTGAGACCTATTGGTCCTATGAGGACTCAACGTACCAGCCAGGGACTGAGCCAGTTCAGACCCCGTACGAAGGAAGTGATGATGATGTGAGTGATGAGGAGGAAAGTGGCTCCTTGGCCAGGATCGAAGTGCTGCTCCAACAGTATCATCGGGAGCGCGAAGAAAAGAGGGCACGCCGAAGGCACCGTGCAGGGCAACCTTCGGGCGGGGCTGCAAGAGGGAGAAGCTATTGCGATTCTAGAACTCATGTGGAAGCGCATGGAAGTCGGGGCGATGGAGGTCCAGCGATAAGGATCTCCAAATACATCAAAGAGGCGAGGGACTTAGGGTGCAAACCGTTCGATGGGACGGGAGACATCTCGGTTGCCGCACAGTGGATCAAGAGGCTGAACGAGGCAGCCCTTGACATGCAGCTCACCCCCGATTTTAAATTGAGAATCACGGTAAGGTTACTCGAAGGGTTGGCATCCAAATGGTGGGATGGAACCAAGGGTAAGTATGGCGGAACTGTTACATGGGAGGATTTTGGACAAGAATTTTTTGCCCAGTACTACTCTGACTTCGAAGTAAATGCCAAGGTGAGGGAATACACTCTCCTAACCCAAGGTGGTAACATGACGGTGAAAGAACTTGAGAACAAGTTCAGAGACCTTGCTGATCACATACCGGAGTATGCTTGTGATGAGAACCGAATGGTGAATCATTTTTGGGAGGCCTTGGACTTGGAGATACGCGACAGGGCAACTCAATTGCCCAACATAACTTTCAGCCAATTGGTCGCCCAAGGGTTGAAAGGAGAAAAGCAATGGGAGGAGAGGAAGAAGAGAGATGCCGAAGAGGCTAAGAAAAGAATGTGGGAAAGCCATGGCCCCCAAGGTTCCAACAAGAAGGAGAACCATGGGGGAGGTGGATCGTTCAGGGCACCGGCAGCACCATCCAAGGGAAACCCGGCCACGAGCGGGCACTACTCGGGCTCACAAGCCCCAACGACGCTCAGGTGCCGGAATTGCAACAGGAACCACGCCGATAAGTGTCGTGATCCACCACGGTGCTACCAATGCGGGAGTACAGGGCATATTAAGCCAAACTGCCCTCAACTTGGTGGGAACCGGGGGTCAGGGCCAAGTGGCGCTACCACGGCAAGTAGGAACCGGGCCGGAGCATCTCATGCTAGTGTGGGCCAGGGGGGAGCGAGCACGAGCAATGCGCCGTCCGTGAATCAAGGAAGAACTCAAGCTAGAGTCTATGCTATGACGGAGGCGGATGCTCGTGCCAACCCGGACTCCGTTGCGGGTAATTCCTTAAACTCACGTATTAATTTTCGTAAACAATAGGAGTGTGGAACTGGTAAAATTATAACCCCGACGAGTTTAGTCGGGTTTGAAGGGAAAAAGGGAGGAGAATCCTCGCCCTGGGTGAAAACCGCCCGACTTTGACGAAAGCCGCCCGACTTTCGTCTTGATTTAATTGGGATAATACCACGGCAACGAAAATCGGCCGGCTTCCACCGAGAACCGCCCGTCTTTCGTCAAGATTAAATCAAAGAAAATTCTCGCAACCAAAAACCGGCCGGCTTTTGGTGAAGACCGGTCGGCTTTCGTAAACACCTCACCTGGAAGATTTCTCGCAGCTGAAAGCCGCCCGGCTTTCATGGAAGCCGCCCGGCTTTCATGGAAGCCGCCCGGCTTTCGTTAGGCCTGGGGATTCCTGCGCTGCTGAAACCCGGCCGGGTTTCGTAGAAACCGGTCGACTTTGAAATCTATTCGAAGAATAAAACTACGGCGACGAAAACCGGCCGGCTTTAGTGAAAGCCGCCCGGCTTTCGTGATATTATTCTGGGAATTTTTCTCGCAGACGAAACCCGGCCGGCTTTCGTGAAAAGCGGCCGGCTTTCACATGGATTGGTCCTAAAACGGTCCTAAAGGTTAGAAACCGGGAAATTTCGGAAGGGTATCGAACGGACCCCACCCGAAACACAACCAACATACTCTACGACTTAAGAAACGAACCTATTAATTAGATAGTGTGTCTTACATTACTTATGAATGTAGGAACACTAAAGATAAACGGGAGAGACGCAAGAATCCTTATTGATATCGGGGCGCAACGATCATTTGTGAGTGAGGCGTTCGCCAGCGGATTCAACGGACCACCTGTACCGATGACTCAAACCCTATTGGTGTCCACGCCTCTAGGGGATGATATCGAGAGAGATAGCCACTATCCATCGTGTGAGGTGGAGGTGGAGGGACAGAACTTGGCGTGTGATTTCGTACCGCTGAGTATGATCGAGTTTGATGCAATCCTCGGGATGGATTGGCTTGAGAAACATCATGCTAGGGTCGATTGCTAAACGAAGATTCTTGAACTCGAAGGCGGTGAAGGGTTGACCTTACGCTTCGAGGGAGATAGAGGCAAATCAAACAGTTGTATCATATCCGCCGTGAGGGCGAGGAATATGATGAGAAAGGGATGCCACGCATACCTAGCGTATGTGGTGGACAAAACCAAAGAAGAGATAGACATCAATGATGTGAGAGTTGTGTGCAAGTATCCGGATGTCTTCCCAAAAGACTTGCCGGGACTTCCACCCGATAGGGAGATTGAGTTCGTGATCGAGGTCGAACCCGGCACCAAGCCAATCTCTATACCGCCATACAGAATGGCACCCGCTGAACTTAACGAGTTGAAAACCCAATTGCAAGAGCTATTGGATAACGGTTGCATAAGGCCAAGTCACTCTCCGTGGGGAGCACCGGTCCTTTTCGTGAAAAAGAAAGATGGAACACTTCGAATGTGCATTGACTATCGTCAACTGAACAAGGTCACAATCAAGAATAGGTATCCCTTGCCTAGAATTGATGACTTGTTTGATCAGCTCCGAGGGGCGACGGTGTTTTCGAAAATTTACTTGAGGTCGGGGTACCACCAACAGAAAATAAAGGAAGATGACATACCGAAGAGTGCATTCCGCACAAGGTATGGTCATTTCGAGTTCCTAGTCATGTCGTTCGGGCTAACCAACGCCCCGGCGGCATTCATGGACATGATGAACCGTGTGTTCAGTGAATACTTAGATCAATTCGTGATAGTATTCATTGACGATATTTTGATATACTCCAAGAGTGAGGAGGAGCATGAAGATCATTTGAGACTTGTACTTGAACGGCTAAGGGAAAAACAACTCTTTGCCAAATTCTCTAAATGCAAGTTTTGGCTCAAAGAGATCGGGTTCCTCGGGCATGTCGTGTCAGGTTCGGGCATTGCGGTGGATAAAGCCAAGATAGAAGCCATTATGAATTGGGAGAGACCCAAGAACGTGAAAGAAATACGTAGTTTCCTCGGCTTAGTAGGATATTATCGTAAGTTTGTTGAAAAATTTTCTGTGTTGGCGTCTCCATTGACAAAGCTCACAAAGAAAGGGGCCAAGTTCATATGGAACGACAATTGTGAGAAAGGATTTCTCGAACTAAAGAAACGGCTTACAGAAGCACCAGTCCTCGCTCTACCCATACAAGGGATAGGGTACGACATATACAGTGACGCTAGCATCCAAGGGCTTGGATGTGTTCTAATGCAAAACGGTCGGGTGATTGCCTATGCTTCAAGGCAATTGAAGAAACACGAGGCAAACTACCCTACCCACGATCTGGAGTTGGGAGCGGTAGTGTTTGCACTGAAGATTTGGCGGCATTATCTCTATGGGGAGACGTGCCATATTTTCACCGATCATAAAAGCTTGAAGTATGTATTCACTCAAAAAGAGTTGAATATGAGACAAAGGAGATGGATGGAGTTGATCAAGGACTATGACTTGATCATCGACTATCATCCCGGGAAGGCCAATGTAGTAGCCGATGCACTGAGCAGGAAGAGTACATCGGGGACGTTACTCGCGTGTCTACGCTCACTAAGGGCACAAGTGGAGGTGTCCACGAGTGGGGTCCTCATTGCTAGATTCGAGGTTAGGCCTACATTGCTGAGTGAGATCAGTAGATGTCAGGCCACTGATGAAGAATGTCAGAAGATCCGTGAACGGATCCTTGAGGGACCTGTTGAGAACTTTCGGGTACGTGATGACGGTCTCTTATTGTTTAAAGGCCGTGTATGCATACCAAGGAACGAGGAGCTCCAAAAGTCTATACTGGAGGAGGCTCATTCTTCGGCGTATGCCATGCATCCAGGAGGTACTAAAATGTACCGATACTTGAAGGAAAGTTACTGGTGGTCGGGTATGAAGAGGGACATCGCAGAGTACGTGAGTCGGTGCCTTACTTGCCAACAAGTCAAGGCGGAACATCAGCACCCGGCGGGGCTTTTGCAACCACTTACCATTCCAGAATGGAAGTGGGAGCACGTGACCATGGACTTCGTGGTGGGGCTACCACGAACAGTGAACAACTATGATGCAGTATGGGTAGTGGTTGATAGGCTCACCAAGAGTGCACACTTTTTGCCTATCAACATTACTTATCCTCTTGAAAGATTGGCAAAGCTATACATGGAGGAGATTGTGAGACTGCATGGAGTTCCGATATCCATTGTCTCGGATAGGGACCCACGTTTCACATCCCGATTTTGGCCAAAATTTCAAGCATCTTTGGGTACGAAGCTAAAGTTTAGCACAACCTTTCACCCACAGACGGATGGGCAATCCGAGAGGGTGATACAGATTCTGGAAGATATGCTTAGGGCATGTGCTCTGGAGTTCCAAGGGAGTTGGGACAAGCATTTGGCTCTGATCGAGTTCGCCTATAACAACAGTTATCAGGCGAGTATTGGCATGCCTCCATACGAGGCATTGTATGGGAGGAAATGTAGAACACCGTTGTGTTGGGACGAGGTTGGCGAAGCCAAGCTCGAGGGGATTGAACTTGTCGAAATCACCAAGGCTAAGGTGAAAGTCATTCAGGATAGACTCAAGGCTGCCCAAGATCGGCAAAAGAGTTATGCTGACAAACGACGCAGGCCATTGGAGTTTGAGGTCGGTGATAAGGTCTTTCTAAGGATTTCTCCTTGGAAAGGTATCATCAGATTTATATCGAGGGGAAAGCTTAACCCCCGATACATTGGCCCATTTGAAATCCTTGAAAAGATAGGGGCCGTGGCTTACCGTATCAAATTGACGCCAGAACTTGAGAAGATACACGACGTGTTCCATGTATCGATGCTCAAGAAATACGTGCGAGATCCGTCTCATATCCTTGAGAAACCACCAGTAGAGATACGTGAAGACCTACAATATGCGGTGGAACCGGTGAAGATTGTGGGTCAACAGGTAAAGAAACTAAGGAACAAGGAGATTCCTATGGTAAAAGTCCTTTGGAGGAGTGATCGAGTCGAAGAAGAAACCTGGGAGACTGAAGTCTCAATGAGGGAGCAGTACCCTTTCCTTTTCGATTAGACACGCGGATTTCGGGGACGAAATCCCAAATAAGGGGGGGTGAACTTGTAACACCGTCCCCAAATGTATTTATCTTTAAGTGAATAATTTATTGAACCCTATGAAATTTTTAGTGAATTTACGAAGTTGTGAATTTGTATTAATTTTTTTCGCGTGAATAGTAAAATGCACGTGGGGCCCACATCGGGAGTGGGGACCGCCCGATATTATCGGGGCCACATATTATATTGATCTTGGACTAGATAATATGTATATGGTGGTGGATATTCTAGTTGAGCCATGACAATGGCATAGGGTTGACCGGTTGGTCAAACGGGGCCAAATTATCAGTATCGACGATCTATCAGATAACAGCCCGAAAAGGGATTTCGGAGACTTCTAAATTAAAGTTGAGGAATGCATATTGATTCTAAGGTCCATTAAGAATTGGGAACAAGTGTTATATTTTATTTGACCTGATAAAATAAAAAATACTTAAAACAGTCCGGAAAATACAACTTTCGGGGCAAATTGTACACTTTGGGACAAATTAGGATGACCTCCCACATGGGTGGGGGCCACCCCACGAATTTGTCAACCCTTGAGGGCAGGATGAGTGCCAAGTTGGCTGAATAACAATTGAGAGGATGGGGGAGACACCTTTGACATGTAGTAGACCCCCTCCCTTCACTCATTTGTCTAAATGAGACAAAAACCACCCCTCTCACCTCACCACTTCCACCCACACGATTCAGCACCCTAGGATAGCAAGGAGGGGCTCTGAAACTCCTCATTTTCACACCCAAATTCGAGCTCAAGATAGAGGATCCAAAGAGGAGTGCTTGGAGAAGGAAAAAGGTGTAGGAAAGTGTGGAAAATTGAGGTAATCACCTTGCCATAGCTTTCCCTTTATTCTTCTTCTACCATGAGGCATATTTATTATATGAAGAACCCTTGGGATGGTTCTCCATGCTCTAAGTATGGATTTATGGATTGGAAAGTGGTTCTATGTCCAAGAACGGACTTAGAAGCCAAATCGACCGGTTTGCCGGAAAATAACCTTTATAGGTTATTTGTGTTGATATGAGTTTTGTGATGATAAAACCTTGTTAGGAACTTGATTTAAAGTATCTTTGAGCTTCGCCGGAGTTTCGTCGGAGTTGGTCAAAGTTCGCCGGAGTTGGTCAAAGTTCGCCGGAGTTGGTCAAAGTTCCATCGAGGAACGTAGAACGCGCTTAAGCTTAATTAAGGTGAGGATGACCGACTATGTTTCTTATAATCTTTGGGTTAATTTCATGGGATTTCCTAAGTGAATACAAATGTGATGTGCATGGGTTGTTAATGGTAAATAATGCCTAAATAAAACTACTATTGGTTAGAAGTAGAGTATGCATGATATACAAATTTATGAATAGATTGTGTATGTTTAGATGTTATGAATATGAGTGTATGATGAGTGTACCAACCATGAATTTCATTTGAGATAGTATACTTTGATACCATGAAGAGAAGCCATGAAGGTATAAAGGTGATACTTGATATTAAGGACAATCATGCATGAAGAAAGAATTATATTGAAATAAGTAAATAACTAGTATTGAAATATTAGTTGGAAATGTTAGTTGAGAAATGGATGAATTAGATCCTAAGAATTTGAATTATAAAGAATCGGTGATTATGAGCCGGGCTCAAGATCGATGTAGATAACGGTGATTATGGGCTGGGCCCTAGACCGTAGTAGATGACGGTGATTATGAGATGGGCTCCAGACCGTAGTAGATGACGGTGATTATGAGCTGGGCTCTAGACCGTAGTAGATGACGGTGATTATGAGCGGGGCTCTAGACCGTAGTAGATAACGGTGATTATGAGCTGGGCTCTAGACCGTGGTAAAAAATGATGAATTGATACTAAATGAACGGATTAACTAAAATGTAACAATGCTCTAGATTGAGGGCCTCAGAGATCTAAACTTCGATTATACTTAGTATAGTTGTCATTGTACTTGTCAAATGCTTCCAAGTACTGACCTCCCCTTCACGGGGGAGGCCACCTCACAGTTTCAGGTAGAACTTGAAGGTTGCTACTACCAGCCGCTGTTTCGGGGAGTTTCTGAGAAGAAGACTTGGTTCGTGCTTCTTCCGTTCTTGTTTGAAAACAATATGAATAATGCTCATGGATATTATTTTCTGAATATACATTTCGGGGAGTTTGTATACCCATGTTTGCCAAGTGTGGCTTGAACACTTGTAATGTTGTTTCCGCTGTTTTAAATGAATGATTTACATTATGTTTGTTTATGGATGTTCTATGTGTGAATGATGTTCATGACGCCTTGTATAGTATGGATGAGTTGGACTGCGGTTGACTATTCGTACTGTACGGCGGGTTGTTGACGTGTCCGGCTAGGTCCGAGGCGTGACATTGCCAGGGGGTCACCCATCCCAAGACTACTCCCGTGCAAGCACGCTTAACTTTGGAGTTCTTGGCTAATGAACTCCCTAAAAAGGAGATGCACCTTGTTGGTATGAGTAGTACTATTAATCCGTTTAAATTAAATCTCAAGTGTTACAATCACCCCCACTTAGGAACGCAACGTCCTCGTTGCGCCCATAAACCAATCTCAATCATACTCCAGAATCTTTTCCCCTGCTAAGTACCCGCCCGATATCCAACGGATCAGCACATTGTCGCAGGGTTGCTCTGATACCATTTGTAACACCTCGGCCCCGTAGGCCCTGAGGTAGTTACTTCTGACCTCTAGTACTGTCCTCACAAACCGCCACTAACCTTTTCCGCACACTTTGTCCTCACTCTTGCGCGCCCTGAGAAACTTCTCTGGGGGTCACCCATCCCAAGACTACTCCCGTGCAAGCACGCTTAACTTTGGAGTTCTTGGCTAATGAGCTCCCTAAAAAGGAGATGCACCTTGTTGGTATGAGTAGTACTATTAATCCGTTTAAATTAAATCTCAAGTGTTACATTGTATCCTTGGGGTAGCGGGGCGTCCATGATCCGACGAATGAACGGTTCGGGAATCCTTACTTCATGGTTAGGGTTGATCCTTGCGTCCACCTCCCTTCGGAGCTCGTCCAACTTCCTCCTGAGATCGTCATTGCCCTGGCCTGCTTGCTGTCAGGGTGGGGATCATCGATTCCCGCGGCCATGCTGGTTGGTGTTGATCTCGTTTCTGAGATCTCCCCCACGCACACTTCGGCGGTGGGATGAAACAGCCACAGATGACGCTTCCACACTCAGCTCACATCGGGATGAGATCCTGTCATGCACGGAGACCTTTGCTCACCAATTCGGTCCATCACCGAGGTTCTCGGGGTCTGCCTGGAATGATGGGAACGCTGAGATCGAGATGGCGGAGAGCCCCTCCTGGAGTGCTCATCCCCCCTTCCTCCTGTCGGGGCACGGATGGAGCCCGAAGAGGTGAAGGGGACCTCGCACCCTCATTTGGGATGATGCCTTGGAAAGCAGTGGTCAGAGTCTCCACTGCCCTTTGGAACGTCGCAAAACTGGCTAAGGCCTGAGCCGGATCAATATTGGGGATACGATTCCCCGTGCGAGGCGTCTGAAACTGCGGCGGTCGTGTTGCTGCCCGCCTAGAACTTCCAACACCTTGGAGGTGATTCCTCAGATCCTCCTGTCCCGCCGTATTGTCGTGACGCCTTCGAAAATCACTCCGCCGTGACCGAGAGCCTTCGTCTTCGATCACCACTTGGTCGTGACGATTACCGCCCAGATTGCTGCCCACACGCCTGTGGCTATGCGATCCCACCATGGTTCGTCGTAGATCGATCTCTCAATGAGAGCACCAAATGATGGAGTTTAATCCAACAACAAGAGCTAAATCTATAGGAGCAGATGATAATTTGGCAGCATAAGGTAGTGTTTTATTGACCAATGTTTGGTTCCCCTTTTCGGAGGTTTACAAGTCCTATTTATAGGATAAGGAACTAGTGTTACAAAAGAAAACTAATACAATAAATGCTATTAATTATGTATTAGTTTAAATAGGACTCTTGTAACGTCTTGGCCGTTGTGCAATGATTGTTCCTTTATTCCCACGTTCCAGCCATTTAACTCCTGTCAGCTGCCATTCTAATGATAGCATGCCACGTCAGCCCTAGGGATATCTCAGCCTCACTAGAACTCCGCTCAGGCTCGAGGCGTGCTTTCCATCCTGGCCTGGCTGTGGGTTCCACTCGCGGGCTTGATCCCTAGTTAGGCTCAGTGATTATCTAGCATTGATCCCGTTAATTAGGCTATCCCCGTAGAGGGGTTAATCCCGTCATGGGCTGGATTGTGTAATTGGGCCATGATCGGAATCCATGGTACCATCATTGTTAAATTTATTAATTAAATCATGTTGTTATTCATACCTTAAAGTAGTCACTTTTTCAAAATGGAGTTTAATTTAATTGGAAAACTCTCTTGAATCAGTTAGGGGTGTTTGGGACTGATTCTGCGTTTACTTCTTTTTTTAAACAGAAACAAAATCAGAATCAGTTTTCAGAAGCTGGTCACTCACAGCTTCTAAAAAAACTAATTCTAAGAGTAAATTAGAGCACCAGAATCACTTTTACACTTTCACCCAAACACTCCAACTTATGCTTCTTCTCCCTGAAGGAGTAGAAACAGTTTTAAGAATTAGATTCAAACACCCCTTAAGATCTTTATCAAAGACATATATGCACGACGTGTGACTTGAGACTCCGGGTTTGACTGGTGGGCGTAGCTCAACTGGTAGCAAGGGAGTGCCACAAGGGTTAGGTCACGGGTTCGAATCCCGGTAACTGCGATGAGGGGTTACTATGCTAAAAATGCATAGGGCCTCTACAAGTATCGAGGACAGAGCCCCACTCTCTATCTTTCAGATTGGGATTATAATCCAATTTACATCCTCCTAACGTACCGTTCGGTCGGGGTTGGAGGGCTTCACGGATGGGGGTCATCCTTTTTTTTGAGACTACGTGTTTGGAGAGGGACAAAGAATGCCGTGTAGGTAGGGGCAAACTGGCAGAATGCTTTACCACTGAAATTTTCCAGCTAAGACATTTCCCTATCACTTCTGTTCCTGTTTTTCTTTTCCTTTTTTCATTCTTCTCTTTTTCTCTTTCCTGATTGGGAAGAGTTCTGTTACTGGGGACCTTGCGTTACTCCAATTAGGGGTTTTGGAATCGAATTTATGGTGGGGGCATATGATCAAACCAAACATTCATTCTTTGGCCACTTGAGGGCAAAGTGGAGACATAAGGTGTAACTAACTCACTAACCTTCCAACAAAATAATGGAATCATAATTTTGAAAACGGAAAAGCAAAATTGTACTACGTACTCCCTCCCTCCCCGAATAAACTTCCCAGAATTTCACAAATATTATGGAAATAAATTAATTAGGGAGTAAATTTTACCCCCGCAATTCAGGATGGCCCGAAAAGGAAAGGGTACTCCTGCGTTTGAACATTTTATTTTATTTTATTTCTTCACCTTTCCCTTTTAGATTAATCCATTGTTTTACTCCCGCATATCACTTGTCACACACCTTTTGCTTCAAAATGAGATTAAGCAATAAAATTCGTTACACATACCCGTCGAGTCCCGACCCGACAAAGTATCATAAGTTGTAAATTATTATAACTCAACTAAACATAGAGGTTAGATCAGTGTCCATTACGTACAAGTAGCTCCGTCTGACCGTCTCACTTTGAGATTTTACTTCTACACTACCATTGACGGTATTCGATCTTAAATCACTTGTTTCAAATTTCAACAATGTGATCAATTGCATTATATTTCCATGGGAACATAGTTATTCAAGCACAACTATTTGAGAGTAATGTTAAAGCAAGCTAAGCAACATCATCATTTGTCCCTCCACGATATATGTCATTCCTTAAGAAAGTAAGGATGTTTTTATCTAAACTGTAATTCTTCCCAGACCAGACCTAATCAGACCGGTTCAGACCAGACCAGATTTGGATAGTTATAAAAATTCAAAGAAACCAGACCAGATCAGTTCAGACCACACCAGACCAGACCAGCAAATTACAGTCCAAGTAAAAACATCCTTATTATGATGCACTCTTGGCATGGTATTATTGCACGTTAAAAAAGTACTAGTATATGAAAGAATCTAAATATTCGGAAACATTGCTTTGTACTTGATTAGTTCTTAGCGTAAACTACTTGCACATCAAAATATAGACCTTGATTCATTTGGAAAAAGGTTAAAAGTTTTAAGGGATTTAAAAGTTAAAAATAAAATTAAGTGTTTGAGACATAATAGTTACATAGTTTTGATAAAAGAATTCCAAATACGGAAGCAAAGTTAGTTACATTTCTCATTAAAAATAATCAAAACTAATAAACAAACATTTTCTTTTCGAACAACAAAAGATGTGTCATGTGTGTATAAAATAGTCACTAGATGTATGTTTGTGTGTAGAATGGTAGGCTTATTCGAATTTATAATGTGTACGCTTCCTTAATGAGCCGGAATCGCAAGTACCATACTCAACCCGTTTATAATAAAAAATAATGTGTCTAAACCAGATCCGATAAGCACAACAAAATATAGATTCATATCCGTTATAAAAAGTAGATCTGAATGGGACATATATCTAAAACCAACCAATTGACCAGCCCATCTACGGCTCCATGAGTATGGGTAGGGTTGTAAAAGAATCGAATCGAACCGAATAGTGAGTAATATTATTCGTATTCGTATAAATTGACGAATATTCATATTCGTATTCGGATATTATTCGAATCTTACAATAGATTCATATTCGATTCGTTTATTGTATTTGAGTATATTCATATTCGAATATTCGAATTCGAATTCGAATATTCGAATTCCAATTCAAACATTTGAAGTGTCAAAAAAAATCACCTATTCAAATTATGACTCATTTTAGGCATTTTTCAATTTTCACAAATGTCTATTAAATGAATTATTTCAAAAATTCAATTACTTCAAAACTCAATTGCTAAAGAAACACACACAAATAAAGTAAACAAAGTTAATTCAATTACTTAAACCTAGAATACGTATTACCTATTTTATATTTTAATTTTAAACAATTATATAAATTATAAATATAATAGAATATATATTCATAATTCGCAAATATACAAATCGAATATATTCGAATAACTTACGAATCGAATATATGTATATTCGTATTCATATTCGAATTTTATTCGAATAATAAAATTGATTCGTATCCGAATTCGTATTCGAATATTTCGAATTCGAATCATCAATTTCGAATTCGAATCGCGAATCGAATCAAAATTATTCAATTCGTTTACAACCCTAAGTATGGGTGTAGTCTATGTAGCACCAATATGGGTACGCGGAAATGGGTACGGGATACGACAAAACCCAAAAAGTATGATACGGATACGGGGTATATTTATAAATATGTAAAAGTTATTGGGTGAATTTATAGATTATAAAAATTATGGGGGTGTTTTTATAAAAAAGTTACATTTTTTTTGAAAATATACCTATATTATCCTTTGACCATTCATGGCATTGAAGGCTTTCACATTATCAAGATCGTTAGGAATAAGTTCATACTTTATCTCAAATACACGAGTGCATCTTGAAATATAAATATAGTCAATAAGTCATTAATTTAAAATGAGAAACAAATCAAACAATCACATTTTGCAATTAAAAGTGCAAGTATTCAAAGTTCTTGGATAACGGAGATAGAAAACAATACTCTAATAAAAAAAAACTAAAAGTTATAATACATATTTCCATTGGAGCTACTAATTTCCAGGGTACTATCGTCTTCCAAAATGACAACCTCCAAACCTGGTTCATCTATGAAAGGTTAGCAAATTCAAGTACTCGTATATCATCCATGCTCCCAAAGTTATATCCACAAACATCGAATCTCACATTTTAGTTATCGTCCATATACTTAGTTGTGTGTGAGATTAAAGCAAGGTAAAATTTAATTAGTTTTTCAATTTTTAAGGAACTTATTGGGTGTTTTTTATATAGAAAAAGTCAATACGTGTATCCGTCAAGATACGAGTATCCAAAATTTTAACATAAATACAAAAAAAGTTAGAAACTTTTAATAAATTGCAGATATAATCCAGGAGTGAGTATCTCATATGGGAAAGTTTTCGATATGTCGATACGGTACTCTAGTGAAGTATCAATGTGTTACATGGTATAGTTAATAAAATGAATGTAACGGCACCGATGGGATTTCGTAAATTTTTTAGTCCATTTTGTTAAATTTAGTTCAAAACATACAGTGTTGAATCTCAAAAAAACTGCGATTGTCTCATTGGATTCCTGGATTTGTGAATTATGCATTTAAAAGAATCTTTTACTCAATATTCATAGAGAAAAATATACTCCGTATATGAATAAGAGGCTAAAGTGTAGCTCAGTTGGTCGAGTGGTGGGAGATTTGAAACAAAGGATCAAGGATCGAATCCCCGCAGTGACCGGGTGGAGGTCACAGAACCTGAAATAAAGCTGGGCCTCTGATGCGCACGGGTGTATGGACCTACTGCCATTCTGCTGGCTGAGTCACCGTGACTAACCTCTCCACCATCCTGTCGAGTCGGGGTGGGGGGCTCCTGGGGTGGGAGATTCCACCTTTTGGAACAACAAAGAGACTAAATAATCAGCTTCAACTGGAGAAAAAGTGGCGGGCGTACTTTTAGAAAAAATAAAAGTTGTCATAAACTTGGCAACAAATTGAGATTATTGTACTGTTGTAGCTAGCTCGAATGCTAAAGAAGAATCCTATATTCCTATTCAAATCATAAACTTTACTTCGTATTTTACTTTGACCCTGTAAAAACTAAAAAGGTTACAAAAAAATTCAACATAAAAGTGGAAACATTATAATTTTTATGTAAAATTAGTACACATTTGTCTCATATCATAAGTGTCATATAAAGTTGACTAAAGTTAGAATCACTGTTCAACTCTTAATATTAAATTCTTGATTATTAATATTACACTAAAAGTTCGATTGCTATTAAAAACCAAATATAAATGTAACCGCAACAAAATTACTCCCTTTCTTCCTGAAAATTCTCCCCTATTATTTTTTTGAGACGTTTCAAAAAATTCTTCTCATTTTCCTTTTTAAAATGGTTTATGTTACTATCATTCATTTACATTTTTCTTTCTCAACCACAACCACACATTTCTATTTTATTTTTACTTTCTTAAAATCCGATCAAGCAGTAGAAACAAGAAAATATAGAAACATGTGCGTACATGTCCACCTATGACCTACCCCATTTTATACGTTATTTCAGTTATCCATCCACGTGGTCAATTTAATTCTTTTTATACACTTTTTTAGTCAAATTTTATCATATTAAATGTATTTTTCATTATTATGAAGCATTTAGGATGTTTTTACTTGCACTGTAATTTGCCGCTCCGGTATGGTCTGGTTTGGTCTGTTTATGAATGATCTGATCTGGTTTGATCTAGTCCGTTTAAGTCTTGTCTGGTCTGATCTGTTTAAGTCTGGTATGGTAAACGTCTGGTGTCTGTATATTTTATAACTACGGAAGTCAAGTCTGGTTTGATCTGGTCTGTTTAAGTTTGGTCTGGTCTGGTCTGATCTGTTTAGATCTGGTCTGGTTTGTTAAGTCTTGTATGATCTGATCTGAGACTGAAAACATTCTTATTAGTATTATATACGTACTCCGATTACATTATATATACTACGTATATAATAATAACTTAAATGCTAATATGTGAGCAATAATTTTAACTATGTAATAACATACTTTTTTATTCTTTTATTTATTAACTTTGTAATATGATATATAGAACATATGGGTACTAAGTTGCTAAATATATTAACTTTATTCTAGACCTTTTGGCGCCCCCTTTATATAAAATCGAACTACTTACATAAGAGAATTTTAACGGTTAATTAGTTTTGTTCATTTCGTGAACCAATTTAGAAGTCGGTTTTTGTTGTAAATGACTACAAAATGAATGATATTTTTCAAATGCCTAAGATTATATATTATAAATATCAATTTTGCGTCTTTTTTTATTTTAAACTATTAAGCATGTGTGATCTAATAATTATCCCTTATTCATCCTTATGGTCACACCCTACCGGCCTACCCTAAGGTTCCTAACCCATACTCTCGGTTTGGGATGATGTCTTCCTGCACTAGATTGTACCTCAAGTTTTTTTGATGGATTTTTTTTCTAAACCTATTTTAGTATACAAAAATGATGTTTTTACACACTCTTATACACACTTTTATACACACCTATGTCTGTGAAAGTTTTTTTTTGTCTGTGAACATCGATTCACAGACAATGTTTTGCACAAACAAAATATTGTCTGTGAACCGGATTCACAGACAAAAAAAAGCTTCACAAACATGGTGTGTATAAGATGTGTACAAGGATGTGTACATCAAGAATGGTTGTTTAGTATATTATACACTCATGTTTTAGGGAGTTATATTTAATAAAAAGTGAATTGAGAAAAGTGATAAAATATAATAGGTGAATGTAGGGTCGTCTTTTAGCGAGTTAAATAGATTATCTGGAACAGGGTCCACCAAAATTGGGCGCCCCAATTTTTTTTAATATTAGTATTACAATATAGTTATTATTATATAATATTAATACATAGTTATTTTAAATCATTTTTTTCCTATATGAACACTTGAACACAATTGATTTTGTTGAAATATGTGAGCTCTTAAAATATGTGATTTATTTTTATTCATATATGATGCCTCAATTTTGGGTTTGGAATCGGGGCCTCCAAATACATCAGACAACCCTCCTTGTGAATGCAGTAAAGCAACCAAATATTCATTAAAACAATATAATGACCATTTTATCTTAACTTCCCTAATAAATTGGATTCTATCGACCTGATCCCGGTCAATACGGAATGATAAAGAATGTGTCTTTTTCTTTCAGCACCAGAGTCTTTTAAAAATCAGAATTTCCGGATTATGTCAAAAGGAGGCTTGCTTATTTGATAGCTAGCTACACCCTACAGCTTAGCTACCCAGAATCTTACTTGAATTTTGGGGTTCATCGTAATAATCCTCCAAATAATAATTTTTCTATTTTGTGTTTCTTGAATTCCTTTTTTCTGGTAAAAGCTTCACATTCTCTACTTTCATTCACATTTACATTGGATAACAAGCCAAAAACAAGATCAATATCTTTCTGCAAGATTGCGGATCCGAGTCATTTAATTTAATACTCTCTCTGGTCAGAAAAGAAAGAACCCTGTTTTGTTTTTGATGCATTTAAGGATTATTTTATTTTACTGTGATGTGTGTCAGCACAGGTGGAATCTGTCACTTCCAACCAATAATTTGATTTCTTTTTCTTGATATATGAAAATCTGGGGTGGGTATTGGATGGAAGAGAGGCGGCGGCAAGAACAGTAACAGAGATGAGTAATTATTGATGATGAAGGAAAGGTGTTTGATGGGGATCCTGTTCTGCCGTCCATTGATGTGCCTCTGCAAATCATCTCCTCCTCAATCCCAGCTGAAGTTGGATAACACCCCCAGTCTCCCTTCTTCAACTGCTGTTTCTGCTGCTGGAGAATTTACAGCAAAGGTTAGTGAGGAGGTGAAGAATCTGCAAGGGGTTAATCTCCAATCTGCCATTAATGGAGGCAGTAGAAGCTGCATTAGGAAAGATCGTATTCCAAAGCAGGTGGAGATGAAAAGGAAGAAAAAGAAGAGTGTACGGTGGGTAGATTATAGCATGGGGCAAGAACTTGCTGAGATCAAGGAGTTTGAAAGCAGGTGAGTTTTTGTTGTAAATATTAGTGAGTTGAACTAGCTATGTTATTTTTGTTGTTCAACACAAATTCATTTTATTCTCGAATTTTGGGTATTGATTTCTAATTATTTTAGATTTGATTTTTGTTATTCATAAAACTTTCAATCCAGTTTCTAGATATTAGTATCACTGAATTTAATTTTTACTTGATCAATCTCGTAAATCCTTTTTTGCAAAATAATTTGGAAGGGAGGTCGAAATTATTTTTAAATACTACATTTCAAAACGCCTAATATTAGTGAAACTAGATGACCATTTATATTCAAAGGATTTAACCTTAGATTTCAATTTATGACATTTAAATGATTGAAGAGCCCACTTGTTAAGATTTTGAGGTTTGTCAAGTTGATAAGAGAAGTAGTCCAAGATCTTATATAACATTTTATTATTTTATATTGTTTCATTGTGAGACGAATACTTCATGATCTGACTACGGGAAACTGTTTTTGAGTTTTATATTCCTCTTTCTTATTTCTATTTTGTTATCTTATCTTCTATTTTTTGTTTCTTGGTTAGTCTTTCAGTTTTTGAATTCTCTATTTCATAGTATATTCTGATTTGTAAAATATTTTCTTACAAGCACATATATCTAATACCCCCTCTGCACTCATTATTGTAAGAATGTGGTTCTTATAGTAGCTCTAGATGATAATAGGTGAACTTTATTGCTTCCATTAAGCTATATTGCCTTGCTTAAATGAAATCTCAAATCTTAATATATGGAATAAGAGTTTATTGAACTTTGTTCCCATGAATTACCATTGAACACACATACTTCAAAAGTGGTGTTGTACAATGAGCTATATCCATGTAAAGGCTTAGGTCACTGCTTGTTTTATATTCATCATGTAGCATTGCTCTATTTTGACATGAACAAGCGTGCAGCGAAACAGGTGACAGTGATAACGAAGACGAAGATCGACAATGTTTTTGCTTCATTCTTTGATGTTATTAACCGGCTTCTTCTGGCTACAAACTTAGTTGGACATATTTCTGAACAGTAGTGTAGCTCATCAAGAACCAGCAATGTTTGTGATATATAGAAGAGCTGTGATATCCTTCCATGTAGGAGGCGGGTTTTATGTGAAAAATCATTCAAAGCCATTTTTTGAAGCTAAAAGCTCAACTGGGGAAGTGATTTTTCTAGATTAGCTGTTTGCTGAAGTGGAGATTTGACATCTTTCTTTGTGCACTTATTGTTAGATTTTTTTGAGTTTGAAAAATCCTTAGGCTACCTTTCATGTAAGTGGATGGTTGTTATCCTGTACAGATCAAGAGCTCAAAAGAATGGTTCATTGTGCAGTAATAAAAATGTAAAACTTTTAGTGTTCTGATGTTGTAGCAATGAAATCATTACATTACCATGTACAAACCAAGCTTTCTTACATGCAGTGAGTTGGTTACCACTGAAGTTGGAAGCTGACAAAGGTGGAATCCTGGTGGCAAAATAATTGTGAAAACCTACTCTTTAAGATTTCCATTTTGACGCAGATGAAAAAAATGAGGAGTTAATTCATCCAACCTAGTAGATACAGGGTGAGATTTGAGCGAAAATGAACTCTGAACCCACTAGAGAAATGAGTATACATCACATACATTACTTATGTTTTAGTTCCGTTGTAATTTTATTAATAAAAGGCATAAGTAGAGTATTATTTACTTCGTCCGTCCCAAAATTAAGTTTCGAATTAGCACTTTTTGGGTCAAACTTTATAAATTTCGACCATTAATAATTCATAATATACATTACTTATTTCATATAATATTAATTTTATGTACTTCATTGGAGTATACACCATATATATTATTCAAATATTAATTTATATTCGACTTTATATGTATGGATTTTTAGATATTTAGGGTCAAAAGTCCACCTAAAAGATCGTAAAAGTCAAACTGGGAACTTGGGGGACGGGGGGAGTAGGGATGGCAACGGGGCGGGTTTTGGCAGGGGTTCACTCCCCCATCCCCCGCCCGATGTCTAAAAAGTTCTGGTCATCCCCGCCTCGTCCCCATTACTCCCAGACCCGCCCCGCCCCGTCCTGTTGTCCCCCACGAGTGCCCACGGATGCCCTCATATAAATTTTATTTATCTTATTTGCACATTTTTTAATCCATTGTGTGTGTGTGTGAATAATTCTTCGATTTGATAAAATTGAAAGAGTTAAACTAGCAGATAATATTGTGTTTGATAAAAGTTATTACCGCCAATTTTTAATAATTCTTCTATTTGAACAAGTTCTATGAAGACAATAAAAGTAAACATATTCTTCCAAATTTCTCATCCATTATAATACACTTAATATATATATATATATATATATATATATATATATATATATATATATATTACATATGTATGTGTGTGTTCTGTTTACTCACTTTTAAAACTCATATAACATTTATGATACATATTTTTAGTCATTGCTTATTATTCTGTTAACCATCACTAAACACATACATTTATGTATGGCAAGCTATGTGTACATGTATGTGTTAAAATATTTATCCCACACCGGAAAGTTATAAAACAATAAAACACTATATAAGGTTTTGGGCTACTTCTCCTATCAGGTTGGCCTTTTAGGATGGCACGAGACCAACAGGTTTAAACTTCCGGCAGAAATTTCATACCCCAAAACCCTCTGATGGATATGGAGTTGGATATTGATGTACTTCCTCAGTTCGGTTATAAATGCAACATCGAATTGGGCACAAAAATTAAGACGCAAAGGAAAAGTGTTTTACTTTCCTCTTTTGCCCTTCTGTAGTCAGTAACTCACTACACGGATATAAAAGGGCTACAGTTCTACATCACACAACATAACCCTTCTCCTGCAGCCCATATTCTCGACGATCGGAAATTAAACTGAATAGACAGAAAACGCCGCCTCCTTCACCATATATACTTTTCAAACACAGACATGGACAGAAAACGCCACTTGGCCTCCTTCATCGGAAAATAAACACGGACAGAAAATGTCACCTCTTTGTTGATCTTGAACCGTCAGCCCCACTATCTTCAAGGATGTGAGACAGAGTATCCAGGACCATAAAATCCGATGTTATAGCTTGAGATAGTAAGCGGAGTGAAATCAATACCTTGGTCGCCCATGTCTTCCATTTTTGAGAATTAAATAACAAATTTGAGAATTGAATATCATATGAAGATGGTAGGGAAAGCCATATGAGTAAGTATAGATGAAATCAATGATAATGTACATATGAGGATGCTGAATACAAAAAGTAGAACATGTGGTGCGGGTGGGGGGTGGGACATGGCAGAATTAAAAGGTGTCTTAAAATCTAAAATGAGTGGTGATGAGTTGATGGGTGGTGTTTGGTGGCCTGGTGGGTGTTGAATAATTTAGGGTATAGAAGTCATTTTGGGTGTTAGTTATTTCCTAAAAAGAAATGTTGCAATTGATTTGAAACTTCCGAAAAACGAAAGTGTTGCATTTATTAAAGAACGGAGGAAGTATATCGTAAAACACTGACTGCAGCGGATATTGATGCAGAGATGCATGTTCCTCGTCTGATGGCTCTGAATTGGCCATTATTGGATAGGCAGACAATTCAGCTAGCATTAATGTTGCATGCATTTCAATACGAAGTCACCGCCATTCGGAGGAGCAACATGTGATCGTTTCTGCGGCGCCAATGGAGAATTATAGTCGAACAACAGCATTTGAGGGTGGGAGGCGTGCTATTCTTCGAATGAATACATAACACTCTTTTCGTGGTCGTGATCATGCCAATCATCCACCTCCTGCCCCCTATGCCTCCGCCTCCTCCGCCTCCTCCACCTCTTCCACCTCCTCCACCTCCCCCGCCTCCTCCGCCTCCTCCACCTGCTGGACCGCAGACCCCATCTCCAAGGCGGCCTCCACCAAGGTGCCTTTCAACGCCATCTACCCCTTCATTGGTGTCTGACATCTTTAGCATGATAGCGGATGCATTGATAAAAACTGAGGACGCCATTGATTGTGCCCTTTTACTTGAGGCACGAACTAAGCCTTTCCGTGATTTCTATGACTGCCACTTGCGTAATGAAAGAATAAGTGTTCTGGGTGTAGTAGTTCAGAAATTGCCTTGTGCATTCATTGTGACCGAGGAACATCAGAAACTTGTTTGGGACATCGTTCTCGTTAATGAAGAGTGCATCTCGGTTCCTCTCACTCTTTGGGAAGATTATGTCACCAGTCATGGAACTGAAATTGAACGAATTCTCAAGGAGGGGAATTACCCCCTGGTTCTCATTGAAAGGGTTGCTGTCAAGCTTTTTCAAGGCCTCACTCTGGCAACCAGGTTTGATACCCGTTTGGAAATCAATCCATCTAGTGAACGTGCGTTGTTACTGAAGAAGTGGCTTTTTGAAAATGTCCACAAAGTTGATCAAATGATGCTAGAGGTGTATGAGGACGCTCTTAGTGCTCTAGCCAAACCTCTGTCCCAGCCTCGCACGCCTGTCGCTGGGCTCGAAGCAAAATTAGATGAGGTTCCTGTTGCGTCGGTGTTGGGAAAGTTCGTTCTGATGGACACTTCAGATGATGGTTTTTACGTGGGTTGTGATTATTGCAACAGAAAGGTTTACGCCATGGAAGGGGTGACTTTTGAATGCATGTTCTGTGGGCAGAAAATTGGGAAAGCAGTTAAGAAGTTCCGTCTTGATGCTTCACTCAGTGATGGAACCTCTAGCGTTCCCGTGACTCTCTTCACAGGGGACATTCTGTCCCTGTTTGAGTTCGTGCACATGGTATCACAACCAATTCCGGTTGTGGTTTGACTGCTTGTTCAGCATCCATGATTATGGGTAGTTTGTTAAGGGTCTGTTTGGCCCATTTATACACTCCGATATTGTCCAGACCGGTTCGGGCTGAGGGGGCATGTTAAAGTATCTGTCCCACACCGGAAAGCTATAAAACAATAAAACACTTTATAAGGCTTTGGGTTACTCCTCCTATCAGGTTGACCTTTTAGGATGGAACCCTAGATCTTAACAGTATGTCTTTCTTATATACAACATATAACTTAATTAAATATGTTTATACGTTAGTTATATGTGTATATATCTGTGTGAGACAGAGAGTTTGAGTATATATTTATAACGGAGGTGGGGCGTGTAACACCAACCCCGAGCATATTTACTTTTAGTAAATTATGTAATAAACCTTGGAAGATGATTTGTAAATTTGCGTAATGATAAATTTTTATTATTTCTTTTACGTGAATAGTAAATTGCATGTGGGGTCCACAACGGGAACGGGGACCGCCCGATAATTCCCGAACCACATATTACATTCATCTTGGTCTAGATAATATGTATATGGTGGTGGATATTTTATTTGGGCCATAAGAAAGGCATGGAGTGGACCGGGTGGTCAAACGGGGCCCAATTACCAGTATTGGCAATTTAACGGATAACAACCCGAAATGAGTTTCGGAGACTCCTAAATTAATGTTGGGGAATATACATCTATTCTAAAGGCCCATAATTATTAGGAACACGTGATATATTTTATTTGGCCCGATAAAATAAAATATGATTAAAACGGGCCGAAAAATGCAACTTTCGGGACCGATTGTGCACGTCTGGACAAAAAGGGGTGACCTCCCACACAAGTGGGGGCCAACCCACGAAATTTCCAAGCTCTTGGAGGCTGGCATGAGCTAAATGGTGGCTGAAATCCATTGAAGGGATGGGGGAGACCATCTTGACACCTAAGGGACCCCTAACCTCACCCAATTGTCAACCAAGGATAAAAGTACCATCCTCCCTCCTCTCCCACTCATTGTACTCGTCCAGCACCAAGAAAAGAAGGCCAAGGATCTCTGAAAACCTCACCTTCCATAGCCAACTCGAGCTCAAGCTCAAACAAGAAAAAAGGAAGAGGTTTGGAGAAGAAGAAAGATAGAAAAAATGTGAAGAATCAAGGTAATGACTTCATACTAACTTTTCTCTACTTCTTAGCTACCCTAAGACTTATATATCATATTTAGGACCCCTAGGATTGTTCTTCATGTTTAGAAGTGTAGAACAAGGGGTTGGAAGGTAGTTCTAAGTCCAAGAACGGACTTAGAAGCCAAATGACCGGTTCGCCGGAAAATAACCTTTTAAGGGTTATTTGTGTTGACATGGGTTTCGTGATGATAAAACCTTGTTAGGAGCTTGACTAAAGTGTTTCTAAGTCTCGCCGGAGTCTCGTCGGAGTTTCGCCGGAGTTCACCGGAGTATTGCCGGAGTTCAACCTAGAAGGGTGGAGCTTCTTCAAGCAAATTCGAGGTGAGGATGGCTGACTATATTGCTTATAATTAATGAGTTAATTTCATGAGATTACCGAAGGTAATTAAAAGTGTTTTATGGATTATTAATGATTAATAATGCCTAAAAATGAAAAGACTAAATGTCTAAAGAAAAAGGAGCATGATATACAAATTTAAGAGTAAATTGTGTATGTTCATGTGTTGTGAGTATGTTGACTTGAATGTGGAATTTATTATGAAACATATGTTGAAATATACTTTTTCTCCATATTAGAATATATGAGTGATTAAAAGTGATATTTTGAATATTGAGATAAATGATATTTTCAAAGGAAAATCAGTTGGAATTGTCTATATGACTATGAGGTTAGAACTTGGTTTGTTGATATTAATTTGACTAGTATTAAGATACTAGTTGGACATTAAAATGAAATGGTGTTAAGATTGATCCTAAGGTTGGATTGTGAAATGTTATGCCTTAAGTAGTCTTAAGAGATGCTTTAAGGTAGGAAAGTATGAACTTTAAGTTATACTAGGGGTAGGCCTTAAGGGATACCCAAGATAATGTAAATATTAAATTGATCCTAAGTGTAGGATTGGCCTACGGGTGTGTTCGGTAGTCCTTGTGGATAGCCGGTTGAATTATGGAAATAGTAAGGACCATGACCCTTCCCGACTCTAGAGAGCGGGGTTGGATAGCAAGGACTTACATCGTGATCACGGGTTAGGGTGGAATCCGAATCGGAGACCTAACTAGGTTCCGGTAGCGGTAACACATAGGATAGGACCCCGAAGGGCCTTACCTTCCTACGGGATGATGGGTACGAGTCCAGGGGCGGGATGTTGGAGTCCGAACCGGGAGCCTCATGAGGTCTCGGACAGCGGTAGCAAGTCCCGTAGAAATAATAAGACCCAAGGGTTGGGTTGTGCAAATGCTAAATGAAAAGGAATATATAAGAAGGGCCGTGTGCCGACAGATGAATAAATTCACTTATTATAAAGATAATAAGTGGGAAATATAAATTGTTATTTATATTATGATATCATCCTATTTTGAGGGTCTTGGAAATTAAAACGTTGATTATACTTAGTGTAGTTGCTATTGTACTTGTCAAATATTTCCAAGTACTGACCTCCCCTTCACGGGGGAGGCCACTTCACAGTTTCAAGTAGAACTTGAAGGTTGCTACCGGCGCCCGTTGCTTCGGGGATTTTCAAGGGAGAAGACGTGGTTCGTGCTTCTTCTGTTTCCTGTTTTCAAAACAATTATAACAATGCTCATGGATACTATTTTCTCAATAATTACTTTGGAGGCTTGTATGCCTAGTTATGCCAAGTGTGGCTTGAACAATTGTATTAATGCTTCCGCTGTTTTAAATGCATGTTTTACATTATGTTTGTTTATGGATGTACTATGTGTGAGCGATATTCATGACGCCTTGTATAGTATGGATGAGTTGGACTGCGGTTGACTATTCGTACTGTACGGCGGGTTGTTGACGTGTCCGGCTAGGTCCGGGGCGTGACAGGGCGGGTGTAGTAATCCATGTCCCATGTCCCATATTTGGGCGGGGTAAAAATATCTCACTCATCTCCGCCCTCGTCCCACCCCATCCTTCCCTCGTGGGGCGGTTCCTCACGAGTCCTCGCCCTCATTGCCATCCTTAGGAGGGAGTATATAACAGTGCAATATTTTGTTTTATAAGAATGCAATATGTTCGCAATGAGAGTGTATAATAATTACTCAATTGATGTTCAATTATCATTTTAAGTTTGAAATTTATAAATAATTCTCGATGAAAAATTTGAACGTGAGACAAATGATTGTGATGCAATTGACTATAGTTATGTATTTTGTGTAATGAAGTAAACGTATTGTGCATGAAATTATCAATATCAATACAAACTCATAGTTTTTATATTCATATGGAAATTATAAAATTTATAATTTTATGAAATAAATTTTGACCAAGAACATTTACATATAATTTCATATTTGAAATAATTTTGCAATAAAAATTATAATTGGTCAAACATATTTGACCATCATTGATCAAGAAAAGTCAATGTAATCAAATTTTATGGGACAGAGGTAAGTAGTACTTGAGAAATCAAGTTGGTGTGGCATTCCTTCTAACGTTCTACAATGAGATGGTAAATATTTCAATTGATTTTATCCTTTTGTGTAATTTGCAATTTTGTTGGATCAAAGAAACTTAAAAAATATTATTTCCCTTTTTCAAAACTAAGGGCCCGTTTATTTTGGACTTAATTGAACCCTGAATCATAATTGTTGTTGATAAACATTCCTCATTTTTTATTATGCCTAAGCTTGATAATCAATTTTTGTTTGGTGCCTAGGCAGAAACCAGTGTCTAAAACCGGTGTGTAGAACTTGCTACCAATCTATTAGTTCAACTTCATCAAGGTGTGTAATTCAGTTTCCCTTTCATAAACTGTGTTCTTTGGTTGAAATTCTGATATGTCTGTTTACTTTAATTCTAAAGGTACAATTTTATGGGGTTGATGTTTCCTGTTTTTGCTTATTTGGGGTTTCATATTAGCCAATGTACACTTAAGATGTTTTTACATGAACTGTTTGATCACATCGATGAAGACTTTTTTACATACGATTCCCAGTAATTAAGTTTAAATCCACAGCTGTATTCTTTTTCTCAAAAAATATAAATCTTATCTAGATTTCCAACTTAATATTTATATAAAATAATATAAAATCCCACCAAAGTCAACAGAGAATATTTTTGTGGGGCATATATAAAAGTAATTGAAAGGTATTGCAGAAATTGGGTTAAAAAATATTTTTAAAAGTCAGCAGGATACTAAAAAGTAATTAAAAAAGTATGTGGTGCATAAATAAAAGTAATTTTGATTTATAGAAATTGACTTTAATATTCTCCGTATGTCACTATGTGTATGTCACACCTATGTGAGGCATATACCGTATAAAAGTAAGTAAAAAGTAAAAAATCAATGCACCCCAAGAAACTGACAGTTACTTTATACTATCTATTAAAAGTAAGGGAATTGGAAACTAATAATCCCACATTTTCCCAAGAATTAACCTTCAATGCAGTATTAAAAATCAATGGAGGGCGGATTAATTCATTTAAAAATCAATCCTTCTAGTCCAACTTTGGAGCAACCAAAACTACTTTGGATCCATTAAGGTTCAGAAAATTGAAATACCCACCAAAATCTAGTCTAGTGATCTGGCACAATACTGAAGTCTTGATAGACCCCTGAAGGGAGAATAAGCATTGCTACATCTTCCCTGGGCCAGTTAAACCAATTTTCCCTCCATCGCCTTTGAGAAATCGCCCAAAAGGTGTATAAGGCTGTAAGCTGGCTTCTACCTTTACAACCAAGGACCAGAGTGTCTAGCCACTGTGGACTGTTGGAAAAGCCAGAAACTTCACCTTAGTCAAAACTGTCGAGTGTTTTAAGGACATAATTTTATATTTTTAGAAATAATTACTCATAAAAAATATAAACATGAAATTATGTCCTTGGACAGGCACTCCTGGTTCAAACAAGGGACTATGACGAAGCCTAGTTGTAACTTGTAAGTAGCAAAAGCATTTCAAACTTAATATACGTATAGGTCCCTAAAGAGCACAGAAGTAAGAGTACCACCAGAGTCCATACTTTCATCTAATACATACTAGGATTTCAAGGATATGACAAACCTTGGCAAAGCAAACAACAAACTATAAATATAAGATAAAGATCTTGACACTAAAAAAACAAATTGAAATAGAGCAAAAATAAACTGCAAAAACATGGACGGGGCAGTAAATGCTACCATGGAAGCTAGGTCAACAGAGAAATAACCCATCAGGCGGAAAATTGATTGAGGCTTTATATCCCCTATAAATCCTTGAGAGAGCTTTAAGAAATCAGCAGCAGGAGATA